AAAGCCAGGCGAAGGCTTTCTTGCAGCCTACCTGCTCCTGTAGAAGTGGGTATGGGTGTGTTTGTGCGCGAGATCTAGACCAACTCATATAATTTGATTGCACACAGCGCTGTTTTACATTTCTGCCTCTCTGCACTTTCTACTATCTGTACTGTAAAAACGAAAAAGCTGCTGTCACTTAAATTCCAACTAAGTCCAACCGTAGCAGTTTTCACACTTTACTTTTGAGGCAAACCTGCATTTACAAAACTGCCACCAGAGTGAGAAAACATGGGAAAACACACTGTAACTCTGCAGTATTAACAAAAAAGAGCTTACAATTGAACAAACCTGTAATATTGTCACTGGATTCTGACATCTTACTCCCATCAGTCACTATAAAGACAGGCTGAAGACAGACAGCTTGAAAACTATGTGATATCCTTTAAAATGGCTATAAGTTTAGAGAAATGCACCGACACATTTCTGCCTGTCCGCTGTAATTGAACTGATCTGAGATCCTAGTAATTCAATTTGCAGCTATTTCTTTATAATCTGATAATACGTCTGTGTTGTCCAAAATTAGTTTAACCAAACAAATGAAACAAATAAGATATTTGAGTTTTCAGCCTGCAGTACAAAGTGCATAAACTCCATATACAGTCAGGACCATCCATCATTTGAAGGATTTTGAAATGTTATGGGTACATTGAATATACTGCGATGTGATTAGAATCTCACAAGCCATTGGACTGTTATCAAATTACTTTAATCCAATTTTTTTGCAATTCTTGGGGTCATCTGACAAAGAAAATGAAATGCCTGGTGGCTTGCATTGTTGTTCAACTTTTAAAAACCTTTCATGATCTCAGTTTTACTGTACGGGAGGGATGGATTCACAGCCCTGTGTGTGTTTGTGTGTAAGAGAGTCTGGGAGATTTAGAGTTTCCGCCAGAAGGAGAAGCAGTAAAGCTAAAGTGTGTGTATAAATCAACCTCACTCAAGTAAATTAGATGCTTGCTGCTTCGGTTCTCTAAGATGCTTTCTCTCAAACACACATATGCTCCCAGCACTAAAGAAATATGGGAGTCTTTTAAAGCCTGCAAACACATACACACAAACACACAAACACACAAACGCACGGCTTCCAGTAGACTGTAAATCAAAAGTAAAACTGCCGCCAGAAGAAAATGGAAAGAGATGGAGGCAGAGATATAAAGAAAGTCCTGTCCATTAAGTAATGTGATGAGGTCTCAACTAATCAAATCAAACTGTCGCTCAATCATTCTCCTCCACAAGACCTTTAGGGCCACATCCAAACACACACACTGGGGCGATTTAAAACTTATCCATTAAACTGATTTGCAGCCACCCTGATCCTGTTTGGGGCTTTTCAATCAACAATACCTTTTTTTGTACCGCTCCGTCACTCGTTTTACTCGGCTGCTTTTTTTTCTGACAGTACAGGTGCTGTGTTCAGTATACAGTGTGTGTTCAGTGTTCAGTGTTCAGTGTGTATGTCTGTGTTTTGTGTCAGACTGTCTGCTGTCAGAAAACTGTCTGACATGGTAAGTTTCTGGGGAGCAGGTGTGAAAAAGTAACAAGGTGGACATAATATGAGAGAAGAAGAGAGACGATGAGCAACGTACTGTATTGCATTCAGGAATGTATCCATTTTTCATGAAGTCCAGGGAGGCGGGAGTGTGTGTCCAGATGTTTTTCATGGCATCTTGTTGTTGATGAGGACATATTGACTGACATGCCAATCAAAGTTGTTGAGATATTTCAACCTGGACAGCTTTACATAGCCATCCCAAAAGCCAAATTGCTGTCACAACAAAGAAGGTCCAGCTTGCAAGAAAGAATGAAGTGTTAGCTTATTATCCCATTATCTAGTTTTGATCAAGTTTGACTGATTTGATTCATTTTTCTGTTGAATTTTTCAAGTATTAGACTATAATCAGCTACCCTTAACCCTTTGTAGTTGTGCTGATAACTATGTATTTCTCATAGTGTCTAACTTAACCAAACTTAAGTGCATGACATTTAAAGCCAGAGCTTTATAAACCATTAATAAACATAACAAGCCCTGGTGCACCATTTTTTAGCATTAGGCTTCCAGATCAACCTGAAGCACATTATTCACCAAAATGAGAGAAGAAACTGAAAGACACAGAAAGAAAGACAAGAAGAGAGGTTGAAATGATGAGTTTTCGCAGCAGGAAGGGCACGCTTGTGATTTTAAACACACTGAAATGAGAAAAAGTTAAATCCAAGTTAGGATTTACAAAATGTTTGCTCAAATCTTCTCCAGGCCTGTTTCTGAACATACCTTTATCATCACCCAACAGCAGTGGACACTTCTCTCTCTAGTTTTAGTAGCAGGAGGTGCAATACATTATCATCAGTCAGGTGGATATTGAAATCGCCGATAATAAGGATCCCATCAGAGTTGCTGGTAGGAGGAGGACGAGGGCTAAGATAGAGATGAAGAAAGAAGGGCACAGATGGAGCTGCTACAGCTACTGTAGCACCAACTATGAATAATGAAAGCACTGCTGTGTGTGTGTGTGTGTGTGTGTGTGTGTGTGTGTGTGTGTGTGTGTGTGTGTGTGTGTGTGTGTGTGTGTGTGTGTGTGTGTGTGTGTGTGTGTGTGTGTGTTGTGTGTGTGTGTGTGTGTGTGTGTGTGTGTGTGTGTGTGTGTGTGTGTGTGTTTGTATGTGTAAATTACATGAATTAATTGACCCATATGTGTACAAATCCCCAAGTGTTTACCAGGTACAGGTTTGCATGTTGTTTTTGTGCATTCAGCTGAGTTGTGTGTACATGTGTGTGTTTGTGTGTCACCGGTGAAGCGTGGTTTACATGTGGGGGCGGCTGGCTGTCTGTTCATAGAAACCACTCTCTGCGTAATGTGTACGATGTGCAGCAAGAAAGACATTTAGTGTGTAAACATCCACTGTGTGCTTCCTCCTGTTGAGGTTTGTCTGTTTGTATATGAAAGGTACATTAGGTAGTCCGCTGCTGTGTATGAGTGTGTGTGCGTTCCCCTGAGTGAACTCACCGAGTACTGAGTCATAACCCTTCACATCTCAATGGACTCTCTGTATTACTCATTCCCCTCTTTCAACCTCTTTCAGTCTTTCTGCCTCGTTCCTTTTTATTCTTTACTCCCTCCCTCTCTCGGTTCGTAATCTCTGTTTGTCCTTTTTTCATTTTTCCAATTTTTTTCTTTTTTTCTTTCATCTCTCCCCCTTATCCCTTTTATCTCCTTTTTACATGAGTGTTTCCTCCTCTATCTCACTGCCGATTCCAGTTTCCTAACAACACAGACAGATGGCTGCAAATGAATAACCCTTGTTGCTCCCTTTAATAATAGATTATATCAATTCCATTGTTTTTATTTTACAATTTCAGTCGTATCACATTCAGGGATTTAGTAACAAAACAGAAACAAATTGGTAATGTCATGAAAACGGTACTATATATTATCTTTTAAGACAAAAATGTCACATTTCTAAAACTGCAGGTAAAAAGTTATATATTCATATTATTTTCATTGTGTTAAATCTTTTAACCCCACCAAAAATACATTATTTTCTGAATGCGAAATGCATGGGGGTGTTTTTTATGTCAATGATTCGCATAACCATTGATTTTGATTGGTTACTTAAACAAATTAAAAGCCTAAAATGTTCCTATTAAGGGACAGGAGAATATAAATCAGATGCAAGATTTAAAATATAACAGATATTTAATTGGTTCTCACTTTTCCTTCACTTAATGGATTTGCATACATCTCTCATCGTTGTTGGGTGTTTTTCCCCCTCCATTGTTCCACATCTGACTTAAACCACACTTTCATATCTTTTCCAACATTGTTGAAAGGAGGCAGCTCAACCTGACTCTGGAAATAGAAAATCCAGCCGTTTTTTATCCGCTGTTGCCGTGACAGCTCACCAATGAAAACAATGTGCTTCCAGCTCCCCACACCTCCATCAATCTCTCACCCCCTCTTCCACTCCTTCCTCCCTCTGGTTTCTCTTTGTTGAACTGAAGCCTATTTGTGGTGTCACAGCCAACATGGCTGACAGGGAAGCAGATGATGACACCACCAGGTGGAAATGAATGAATTGCCTGTCACCCATATAACTCTGGGTGGAAACAGGACAAAAGGAGGCCAAACGGATGTGATTTCCATAGAAAACCTATACACATCTCATGTTGCTACCCAGAACATTTTTTAAATTATGGGATCTTATTGAAGATTTAGTTATTTGAATATTTACTTTATTCATACTGAGGTTATTATCCTCCAATATCAATACAAATATGTGTACCAGCATCAATTACACAGCAGTCAAATACTTTTTTATCTGTCGATTACATTTTATATTACTAATTTTTTTGTAATTGCTGCCTACATTAGTGTATCCACCACACACCTGGCAAACCTTTTTTTAATGGTGCACTAAGATCAAATACGAATAAATATCACCTATGTTTACGGCTTTAGAACAGGTGAAAAAAGTGAGAAAATAATCGAAATAGCAACAAAAAATTGTGTGATTAGAGTGCATTAAACTCAGAAATATCAGATTTTAAAAAACTGATCACCAGAATTAGTTTGTTCTCACTTCCTTCTCAGGGCTCCCATACTCTTTTTTCAAGTAATGTATGTTAAATATTTGTTCACTTTTTTAAATTGATCTAAATATACTGACATGTCTCAGAGATGCCATCTAACTTTTTTTCCATATAATAAGACATTTCTCACACAACTACTTTTAATCGTACTCTATGTGTTCTGGATAGTGTCCCCTCAAAACTCTTTGCGCTGCAATCGGAGGGTTACCCCTGGGTGTTCCTGATTGTACATTTCCTAATGTGGCTGTGCTGCATTGCATCACTGTCAGCTGGAAGAAATATATAACCAGGGCCTGGGGGGGTAAACTGCCTCATAAGAGTGCCCCTCTGAGTAATGTCCAATGTTTTAATCTTGCTCATCATCTTTTAACAGGAAGATCATTGAGGTGAAGATCATTGATGATGAGTTGTATGAGAAGAACAAGACCTTCACCCTGGAGCTGGGAGAGCCCATTCTGCTGGAGATAGGGCAGAAACACGGTGAGTGAATTTGTGTGTTTAAGAGTGTGTGACAAACAGAATGAGTCTTAATTTAAGGTTCAGGTCCCCTGCACACCAAAGTCTTATTCACAGAGTGAGACTCTCATCGATTGTCTGAATCCACCAATCCAAACTCGGATTAACTTGGGAAACATTTCACACTGAACGAAGCACATGGAAAGGATTTAAAGAACTCTGGACGTGAGCTGTGAGGTGTTTAAAAAACAAATCTATATTTGTGTTTGAAAGGACTACACATTTTCATTTTTTGTTCATAATTCCATATTTAACACAATTTAAATTATGATCTATTTTGATCATGTTCCTTCCTCTCCTCTGTCAGTTAAAGCTTTTTGAGTCCACATAGATAACCTCAGCGCTTGGAAATCCACTAATCTAAAACATTAAGCCCCTCAACTTCTAAAAGATGTAGGAAGTTAATTTCTAAAAAGGCCAATTACAGTGACAGACAGCTTCTCTGGCAGGTTACTCAAGGCTAAAGAGAACCGGCGCTGAAAGTCAATAAGTAATTTCTACTGCTTGCTCAGCTTTGACATTTATTTCGAATGTTGACAGAAAAGACAAAAAGAAATGTGGAGTGACTTTTGTTGAGTCCTTTCACTTTACAGAGACCGTTCCTTTGTCTCAGTTGATCTCAATTCACCCTTTTCTATCCTTTCTTCTGTTCTCTGCCTCACTGAATAATGTACACGCATCTAACCTCTCTCTAATAGACTGGTTGTCAACCTGGGGTTCAGACCACTACACATTATTCTATGGGGTTGGAAAGCAGCAGCATTGATTTTATTTTTCTTCAGGCCAATAAAAAACACTCCGAGCGGGTTTGGGACCATTGCTCTACGACATACAGTATACAGTATTTCTCTCACTTCCCACCCTCAGTATACACAAGTAAGATTGCAACTAATTCATTATTAAGCGCCTCAATGACAAGGAAAATGGCAATCAACCAAAATCTCATATAAGATGTTTACTGTATAGACATACTTTATTCCCATTGTGTAATTCCTGTGAAGAAATAAGTCAAACATTTGAAACAACAAAAGTATAGAGTGGTGCAGGAATGAGTCAGCATTTTTCCAATCCTGTCACTGGGTTTTCAAACATGTTAATGGCAGTTGAAGACAAGTGTCTAAATGAGACTACTCAACATGATCACACAGAACATTAGCTGCTCGTGAGTTGTGACCAAGGTCAAGCTTGTTCCTTTATAGCCTTATGTTAGCTTTTTGTACTTCATAAATCATAAAGTGGTGTTAATATTTGGAGATTATCCTGCTTAACAATACGTGTAAGTAGACGTGTTGTTTGCCATGTTATATTCTGCAATATACCTAAATTCAATGGAAAAATCCCTTTGGTTTTTGTTAAGGGATCCCTTGCGATGCTAACGTCCTGCTTGGCCTACACACCAGGAAGTAGCCATCCCTGCCCTACTCTAATATAACTGAGGTTGTTGAGTACAACCCATGCATGCCTTTACCTTATGCTACACCCCGGGTGACCTACACTTGACACAGTGCCTGAATGCGTCCTGTATGAACACAGATGGAGCAGTGATGATGCTGGTGATGGTGCTGCTTATGCTACACTTCCTCTGTAGACAAAGTGACAGATCTGATGGGGGAAAGGTCTGTTCTCTCCATGTCATGTCATGAAGAGCCAGCAGCCCAGGGCATGTTTCATCACAGAGGGAATTTAATTGGTTTTATAGGACTGTCACATGTGGAGGGACATACACACACTGAACCACACACGCACGCACATGCTGTCGTTTCTTTTCAATTACAGCAGGTTTACACTGATAACAGTTGACTCAATTACTGACAGACACTGAGTTTGAAGAGAGAGGAGGAGACGTATGGATGAATGGAGGGGTGTGTGGAGGAACGTTTGGTGTTTGAGAGATAGAGAGATTGTTTCATGTGAGAACATCGGCCTTTCCTCGTGGCTCTTCATATTTACAGTACAATAACATGGAAAGCTTGATTGATCCGATTTCTCACATCATTCTTTGAATATTAGCATTTACAATTTCACAGCTGCTTGCACACTCTCATAAATGAAAACCCAGCAAATCCATAAAAGCAATTCATGCTGCTCTGGTAAAAATCTGACAAATGTAAAAAATACATGGAAAATGATTTTAGTTCAATGACAGGCCGAAGCTCAATGCATATATAATACTTCATACATTTTACATCTAGAAGGAGTATGGCACTAACAAATGTTATACCACGAAGCTCTATGTTTGTTTGTCAGAGAAGAATATGAAAGAGGGGCTGACATTTTAACATCTTGAACACAAACACAAAACTTAATTTAGTTTAGACAATAAAGGGACCACCTTTCTAGGAATGGGCAACATGTCTACCTTCAACTATTTGTGATAAAGATGTTGTTGGTTTCATATGGTACAAGAACACCTGCCTCCTGGGTATCCATTGCTCCTGACCCTCCATCCTTATGGAGTTACTCTTAACACTTGATCACCTGACTTTTTTTTTTACCATTGCTCTTATTATAACAACTCAAGTTGCTAAGGTTACTGTCATCTTCTTTTTCCTCCTGGTGCAGCAGGTCCCTTCTGACCTAGATGTATGAGGCTGAAAACCACTGATTTAATGGGCTGATATCATTCGCACCAGCAACAAACCTTTGCCCGGGCAAGGTGCCTTATCTTGTGAGGAACCCTGTGATTTGAATCCACTCCCAAATGTAATGGGTTCTTCCTCGGCCCATGCTTTACCATTTCACAATATTTCATAAAAACCAGGCCAGTAGTTTTTATTTAATCCAAACAAACAAAGCAAATCTAAAAATGACCTCCTCTGTGGGGTAAACACCCCTAGACCAGTAGGTTTACAGTATGTGTTTTCAGACCAATATTAATAAAGTGACTGAATGGTTTTGTGGTGAAGGTAACAATAACAAAAAAATGTGCAAAAATGCAGAGAACCCCAGAACAGAAGGCCTGTTCTTCAATGTACAAAAATATGATCATAACAGGAAAAAAAAACTGCAATACTCACAACAAAAAACTACAGAATTAAAGTGAATGTGTACACAACCTCTGTTTCCTCACTGCAACAGAAATTGATCTCCTTTAACTTGGTTTCTGTTAGCTGGCACTGAATAACCTCCATACAGTTACACCCCAACGTACTGACCTCACTGACCCTTTCTTCTCTGGGTTCTGCAGGGGACTCCAATGAGAACAAGCCCTTGGTGGGAGCAGAGGACGAAGAAGTGGCCAAGATGGGCTGTCCCAGTCTGGGAGAACACACACAAGTAGAGGTGGTCATCGAAGAGTCCTACGAGTTCAAGGTGAGCCGGTTTCTTCTGCACATGTTTCCATTTACAGGCAATCTTGTTTTGTAAGCTCTTCAGAATGAATCACCATATAGTCTTGTAGAAATAATAATGCCCACCAGCTTGGCATTCAGAAAATTAGACAGAGCCAAAATGCAAATTGCATCTGAAATGGTTTAAAGTGCGTGTTAGCTCCCCCCCCCCCCCCCGGTCCAGAGGATGAATGATTCATTTTGTTAGCATGTAATGGATTCTCTGCTGAGATGCATGTCATTTTGATATCACACATGCAGAAGACAACAAAAAACTCAAATTGAGCTGTCGTCTTGGTGCCTTAGAGGAAAGCAAAGTTGCTGGTAGATCATTCATCCAGCAAATGAGAAAATACATTTGCTTAGTCATGTAATAAATGTTGTGTAAAGAAAGCATTGCATTGTTCTTCAGCCATGGATCATTACAGCTCATTCTCTCTTGAGGCGCCTGTCTTCGTCATGTTTTCATTCTGTTTATCATTTCCTCATGAGTTTGTCTTTTTGTCATTGCTTTGAAAATCATATTTTTGTTGCCCATTTCATTTGCTTATTTTTTCCATTTCTGTCATTCTGTGTGTGTGTGTGTGTGTGTGCGTGAGCAGAGAGCAGTACACACACTTATCTGGCGGGCTGAACAGGTTATCCATCTTCCTCCCTCTCTAGTGCATGCAACGCTAGTTCCTCCGTCTTCTACTGAACAATGCTGAGGCGTTACAATCCCAGTCCGATGCATACACCCTTAATTGTCGCCCCACGCTGGAATGAATTTGAATTACCTTGTTGACACTACTAATTCACAGTATATTGAGTATAAAATCATGTGGTCTCTCTTATTGAATAGTAAATCATGCAAGGTTTCCTCCTCACAAAGCTGAGTTATGATAATGACTGCTGGAGCTGTTTTGCATCAACAACTTTCATTATTCCCCTTCCTCGCTGCTATTAAACAGAAGCCTAGCCCACTCCGCCTGAAGGGGTTTCCTAGATTTCACAGCATCGTATTAATGAGCATTCTCCACCCTCAAGTTGTCAGTGTTATGAATTACGGACTTTTTAAATGTATCTTTGCAGCATGAGAGCTAATTGAAAAGTTTCTGTGTGGATGTGAGTGAATTAACAACTTGAGTGTCTTTTCTGGTCTGTGTGCTCCTGCATGTTTGCTTTCTGTGTGTGTGTGTGTGTGTGTGTGTGTGTGTGTGTGTGTGTGTGTGTGTGTGTGTGTGTGTAGAATACGGTAGATAAGTTGATCAAGAAGACAAACCTGGCCTTGGTGGTGGGAAGCAGCAGCTGGAGGGAGCAGTTTGTCAACGCTGTCACTGTCAGCGCAGGTAACACGCACGCACGCACGCACGCACGCACACACACACACACACACACACACACACACACACACATCACCACACACATTCTGGTTCTTGAGTTCCTATTTGACTTAATTTTGAAAAGATGGTGGATGATAAATAAAGTATATTTTCGGAAATGTTTGCATCAGCATTTTATGTTGAACCTTTCTTTTGCACTTATTTAACTATTTAAAGTGTACTTATGAAGGTTTCATTGCTGATTCTAAACACCCAATATGGGCTATTTTCTATCTGTTAACACTAGAGAGAGGGAGGGAGGTTTTCTTTAGTCCCGCTGGAAAGAAACACAGTGGGTGTTCTTTTTTGCTTTCTTGCCAACTGATGAGTAAATCAATACTTGTCTCTTGTCCATAAACTAATAATATGAGCAGCTATTTAGCGTATTACAGGCTTTTTCCAAAATTTGACATCTAAATCTCACTCCTAAGTTGTATCTTGTTTGTTTAATCAATGCCAGATTTATGCAACAATCTGACAAGCTGTCCTAAAGACTCTTTGCAAGAATACTTATTACCACAAATATGTAACTAATTATTGGATTTGATGTCAAATCAATTAGGATACATTTTTGCTAAAAGTTAGCCTCTTCAGATTGTGTGCCTCACTTACATTTGACGTTACACAGTGTAACGTTATCGCCCACTCACTGTTCTACTTCTTTCAATTATCTCCCTGCCTTTCCTCTCTGTGTGAATCCACCCCCAAAGGAGACGACGATGAGGAGGAGAGCGGCGAGGAGCGGCTGCCGTCCTGCTTCGACTACATCATGCACTTCCTCACCGTCTTCTGGAAGGTCCTGTTCGCCTTCGTCCCGCCCACGGAGTACTGGAACGGCTGGGCCTGCTTCATCGTCTCCATATCGCTGATCGGCGTCCTGACGGCGGTCACCGGAGACCTGGCCTCGCACTTTGGCTGCACGGTCGGCCTGAAGGACTCGGTGACGGCCGTGGTGTTTGTGGCGCTGGGAACATCTGTGCCAGGTGAGTAGAAAGATGGAGGCAAATCATTGAATGTGTCTGTCATGGCGCGTACGGCCTTTACTGATGCTGAGTTTTCCCACATTTCGGATTTGACAGACCCATAATCCTTTCTTCATCTTTTGATTTGAATAGCTTCCGCCCTCAGTAGGCAGGCTCTAAATAAAATGCGTGAAATGGAGGCTCCATCACAGCCTTGAGCCCGAGCTTGTCTGCGCCTGAAGGGCACGCGTTGTCCCAGGGCTTTAATTCAATTCCCTTCCTCATCTCTCTTGCAGCCGTTTTATTGTTGCCCCTCCTTATGATGTATAGGAATAGCTCCTTTGCTTCTCCTCCATGCAGGAACTATGTGGCTCGTGGCAAAGTCTGTATCAATTATTTTAGGAGTCATATTATATTGTGTGCTGGATTTGGGGACTATAAACACAAATTTGATATCCATTAACAATGTGTTTGTCCCAACACAAGCCTCATTGATGTTCATCTGTTCCTCCCTCTCATACCCCACCTCACTTATCTGTTACCGTGCTCTCGTGCCCTATCCCGGTCAATTTATTACTCTGACTCGGTGTTACCCTACTCCATTCTGCCTCTCTCCCCTCCTCTTATTGCATGTTGTGTTTTCCCTGTTGCATCATCCATCATTCTGTGTGCTGTGGTACCCAGGTGTGTGTGGGTGGAAATGTGTTTTCTCTGCCAAGGTGAGGCAGGATCCTTAGGTCATTATTACTTCCCCAGGGAGTGTGTGCTCCCTCGTGTGTGTTTGTGTGTGTTCATGTGTCTGTTAGAACCATCTCCTCTCTTGTTACCCGCTCTCTGACTTGCACATTATGAAATAAGCAGCTCTGCATTTTTACAATGGAGACACACTGGAGGATTATCCCGCCAATTTACACCAGTTTTGCAGATTCAGGCAATTAGAGAGCAAATGCTGATCGCTGTGAACTGCTGCGTGTTTCTGGCTGTTAAGAGGTTTATGGAGCTTATCTGTTACCATTCACGCCTACAAAAACAATATCAGTGATGTCAATATTTGATATTTGCTATGAAATCATAGTTTATCTTCACACAATGCATCCTGAGCTTATGGGCGCATGAACTTAAATAGTTTTGTCTTTTTTTATTAGTGTCACATTCAAGAAATTGAGCATCATTTTTTTAAAGGGTCAGCTAATGTTCTTTACTAACACCACCTCAGCACAATGGGGGTACATGTTTGTTTACTTTCTACTGGAGATATAGTCATGATTAAAACACAACATCTATAGTAACAGTTACACTATGTTGTTCCTAAAAATCAAATTTGGTTCACTTTGTATTAAGGATGACATCGTGTTCACTTTTTCTTACAGGCAAGAGATTATCATGGTGTCAGTAATAAATTACACTCCCAACTCAATTACTTTTTACTATTAAAATTACAATTAGGGGCTGCAAACATATTTGGGAAACTTTCAGAAGCCCAAATGAGCTACGATAGCAACTTGCTATGTTTCTGACTTTGACCAGTTAAGGAAAGTACACTATTCACACTTCGTTTTCTTCTACATTACAGTAACGTGAAACCGTTATTCAGTTACAACATAGTAAACCAGGGGATAACAAAGTTGTAATCTAGAAATGACATTACCATTACTGCTAGACTGGTAGAGGACATATTGGCTTGTTGAAGGGGCTGGAGGTGTGCTGAGGGGGCTCGTTTATATCAAAAGAGAGGAGGAATATGTTCACTAACATCACCAAGATAAACCATTTTATATTTAGGAATCACCTGAAATGTATTTAGAGTTACCAGCTTCTCAGAGGCTTAGACATTGTAATTTCTGGATCTGTAATTGGGTCTTTTAAGAGGTCATTCAAGAAAATGTATAACGTTAGTGAAGTTGCATTTCATACAGGGTTTTTTTTTCTGTGTTTCCAGCAGTACTTAGTATTGCGTGTGGAGGCAATAATGTGCCATTTCATGTCTCAAACCCACAGATTAATTTACCTATGTTGACACGTTCTTTTCTGTTTGTGAGGTCTGCTTCCAACGGGCTTACAATTCATCCCCCCCAAGAAAGTTTGGAGGATTTTCTTCATGTTGGGATATGAATTTCCACTAATCTCGCCGAACATTCAAATGAGAATTGAAACTCATCTCACCAGCCCGTCTATAAATAGAAATAAGCCGAGACAGGCGCACCATAACTGGCAGCTGTTCCCTGCTGTTCCCTGCCAACCCAGTCGTAGAGCCTATGCGCCTTTTACCCAATTCCTCCTCAATGTTCAGCACCAAGAGCTCAAAGCAGGCGCAGCAGCCTGCATCATGTTACAGCATTAATGACATCTGTTCTGTCTCAAGCTGATGCCAATATACAGCTGCGGAGTACAGAACTAAAACATGAATTTCCCTGACAAATGTACATCACAAAATCACATGGATGTTAATGAAATGAAAATTCAGGGGGGTTTTTCACCCTGGATCTTAACTGTGGCTCGTGTATACTTTGTATTTGCCACTTACATTATTATATATATACAAATATTTCCAATGCGTGCCTCTAAGTCCTTTTTCTCAATTCATTTGGGTCCAATGTGTGTATGTGTCTATTTTTACCTATTGCCTGTACGTATGTGCTTCTCTCTTTATCTCCGACAGTCTTCTCATTAACAATTCCATAGACTACTTCTACACTAACTTGTTCTATAGTGCCTGTCAGATTATATCTATAGATGTAGATATAGATAGAGTACGCTACCATAAGTGGGTGGTTTTATACTCCTTGTTACCTTGAGGTCACTTCCTTAGTGGCTTTCAGCAAGACATTTATAATACATAATCAAAAGTCCATGAAGTCATATTACTTGATGTGTTGTTGATGAGGTTGATGTTTTACATTTGTTTCCTGCCCGATTTTGTATGTTTTCATATTGCTTTTCCTGTGGCTTGGTCATTATGATTAAATAAATATGGTATCAAAACGCCTCAAATGTATTGTAAACTCTTTGTCTTTGTCCTCCAGACACATTCGCCAGCAAGGTGGCCGCCATCCAGGATCAGTACGCCGACGCCTCCATCGGGAACGTCACAGGCTCCAACGCGGTCAACGTGTTCCTGGGCATCGGCGTGGCGTGGACCCTGGCCGCCGTGGTGTGGCGCTCCAGGGGCAAGGTGTTCAAGGTGGACCCAGGGAACCTGGCCTTCTCCGTCACGCTCTACACCATCATGGCCGTCATCTGCGTGCTCATCCTGCTGTACCGGCGGCGGGCCTCGGTGGCCGGGGGTGAGCTGGGGGGGCCGCGGACTTGCAAGATTATCACGTCGCTGATGTTCTTCTCCATGTGGCTGATCTACATCCTGCTGGCTTCACTGGAGGCCTACTGCCATCTACCAGTGTTCTAAATGGAGAGGAGACTGACCCACTGCCAAGAGGGGGAGAGGGAGAGAGGAGTCTTCAGACGGACAGGTCCAGGACAGATGGGTAGCGGATCAATAATGGACTCTCAATTTCCTCTTTTTTTTACGATTTTCAGTGTTTCAGATATATTTTTGTCTCTCCATTTATTTATTTCCTGCAAACACTAAGTCATTTTTGCATAAGCAGCTCTTTTAGGAAAGGAGTCCCACCATCTACCCAGTGTTAAAGAGACATAAACCCTCCTAACTAAGATTTATTTCACATAAATGTATGTTTTAAAGGAGCTTTTATGTTTTTACCTAAATCATCCATCATCGTCAGTGGACCACACGGTTTAATAGTCTGATATCGTTCAATATACTGCCAAATCAGCAGGAGAGAAAAAGAGATTTGGAGCAAGGAGAGGTGTGACGCCATCACTCGGAGAAAAAGTTGAAGAGGAAGATTTAGGGAGGAAGATAAAAGAGGACATTGAGGCAAAACAACTACAAAAATGTTGTGGATAAAGTCGATGGACTTGACTGGAGAAGAAACAAGAAAAAGAAGAATGGATTAGAATAAATATTCTTCTCCTCACTTTCTCTCTCTTGCTACTTTCTGCTTTTTCCTTTCTGGTCTACACAGGAAGAATCATACCCACTGTACTCTGTTAATACTACCAGTGACTTATAGGTTGAACCCCTATCCCAGCTGTACACACACACACACACACACACACACACACACACACACACACACACACACACACACACACACACACACACACACACACACACACACACACACACACAATGTGGGACCTCAGGTGAATAACATTGGAGGACCTCTGGCAGGATAACACAGGACTGTTCCTTTTTCTTTTTTTCGTGAATACACTGCGAAATATACACTCCACCCCTCCACACACATTCTTTCCTACAAAACACTCCTCCCTCATCCCTCCCTTTGCCTTACCCGCTGTAGGACTTGTCTTAATGTTGTGATAATGAAACGCTGTAGTAACCACCATCAATCCCTCTTTTTAATTGAGCCAATCCCAAGTCCTCCTGCTTTTGCGCCAATCAGCAGCCTCGTTTATCCCACCAAGGAGTCTCCCCCCCCCTTTATTTTCTAAACTTTTCAATGGCGTCACGTGTTGATGTTGTTACCGTGCAATTGTAAAAAAGAAGAAGAAGTGAAGTAAGATAAAGACATATAAATATAGTATGGAGATATGGAGGTAAAAAAGATTTAAGCAGGTGGTTCAGAAGAATGTAACTTGAGGATTCAAAATGTCGGATTAGCATCTGGGAGAAAAGTGGGATGGAGAAGAAACGTGTGATAAAAAAGTCTGGAAAACCAAGCAGTCCACTTTGTAAAAGTTGAATGAAGAAGCGTTGTGCAATACACAGCGTGACTGTTAACACTCTAAAGTCGCTTGTAATGGCAAGGACATGAAAATCGGGACTAAACAGGAAATGATTTAACGCTATCTTCGGAACAAGATGGACGCCAGTTAACGACTAAGAAGAGGAGGACGTTGATGACGAATCAAACTATGACTAGTGTTTCTAATTGTACATGATAATATAATACACTTTTATTGATGTGTGTGAGAAACACTGATATTTAATTGATGTGAAAACCCCAGAGGAAATAGGAAATTGTCACCCTTCTTTCCTCTGAAACACAGTTCAAGGAGACATTTAAGGGAATCCCACCACCAGGGGAAAAGGCTGGAGGACTCACAGACAGAGAGAGGAGTCTCTGAGGGAAATGTACGGCAGCTCTGAAATATCACACGACTGTTCTGTGGCAGTCGTCACGTTAGGATGTTTCTTTGAACAAAAATCACAAATCCTCTGTTATCCAAAGATGTAATAGAAGAACAATGTCACAGATCACCGTTCATCTCCAGTGTGCCGTTTTACCTCGCAGGCGTCGTACAAGTCCCACCAGCTGCCAGGTGTAAAAATACTCTCATATTTAAAGGTGTTCACACTACAGATATATGTGCTTAACCATTGGTATTTTTATGGGTACGAGCCTTTATCAAAAGCTGTGCTAACTATTTCGTTTTTGTATAGAAGTTTATTGATTGAGGCATGGTGTGTGTGAAGGTTTGTAAGTAGTAGAGAATATTATGCCACATATCATATGAAATCCTCACTTTTTCAAAGTGCGTTGAATCCAGATTTATATAACGTATGTGTTTATAGCCCTGCCTTGCCCAGGGGCTGGGCTGAAGCTGGGCAGAAAGGATGGCATATGGTGCAGGTGATTATTAAATGTAATCCCTCTGTTAACAGTAGCGTACGAGCAACCATTTCCCCATCAGCTGCCCACACAGCTCGTTGTAAACTTCAAGGAAAATCCTGTAAGGACAATAATTTAGCTTTTTTGTTTATTCCACATAGAGCAAAATGGGACTGAAAACAACAATTTACCTGCCCACCATCCGCCCTTTTTCTTTCAGATAAGGACAAATTACCCGCTGCTTTCAATTGTATGTAAATTCTTACAAAGCCCGCTCAGTCTTCACCAGGCTCAAAAACACACTGGTGGAAATTACTTCCTGTGTCACCCCTTCAATCAAATGTGACGTTTTAAACGCTGCCGCAGTCCCCATCATTTTCTAACAGCCATAAAGGAAGGAATCCAATCTTAATTGCAGAAAATCTGTTAAAGTGGCTGTAAAATCTACCTTGAACAGCTGTTTTCTGCGTTAGCTGATATCTGACAGGCACAGCCAATATTCACTGATAAAGAGATGTGGCCCCCTGCCATCGATGCGCTTGCCCTCTTTCAAAAGAATATTTCTTGGCTGCAAATTTTTTCTATTACTGTCTAGAAAATAGACACAGCTTTACACCCCCACTGAGGACTCTGCAGCATGTTAAGTGCTTCCAGGGCCTTTTGGGAAAATATTGAGGTCAGGAATCCAATCCTGGAGAGAAAAGTTTGTCAAACCCCCAAACAGATACTATTTTATTTGGAGTTCTCGTGTTTCATTCTGTTATATTTCCATTAGTTTCCCAACATGCAGATCTAAATGTCTTAAAGTAGAAGAATCTACTGAAAGTATCCCACTATCCTCAATCTTAGTCCCGGTGCTTGTTGACATGATGTTTGAATTACCCGTACCTATTTGAAACTGTCAGACTAACCATCCAGATCCTCTCAAATCCTGAGTCACTCCTGCAGCGCACCGTATATTTTCAAACACAGGAGTCGGTCATCAGTTAGTTTTGACATGACTTACACGTTGGCATAGCTCCTGACCCTCTGAGATGCCAAACGGTCTCTCCATGACTCCAGCCTCTCTAACGTTTGCAGGGCCAAGACTGAGTGGGCGGGATCATAGTGACGCCACAAGAATACTGAGACTGATTTAGAAATGTAGGCTCTTTAAAGGTTCATAATCCTTTTTGGAATAAGACTGAGTTTGTGTGTGTGTGTGTGTGTGTGTGTGTGTGTGTGTGTGTGTGTGTGTGTGTGTGTGTGTGTGCGTGTGCGTGCGTGCGTGCGTGCATTCTAAGTGAGTGAAGAAATGCAACCATATTTTTAGTCTCTTGCCTGTTGCTTAGCGACCATCTAACTGCGAGCCGTTGTCTTCTTGACTGTTGCTGGTGTGTGTGTGTGTCACTCTCCTTTGATGTTTCTCACTTTCCCTTCTTAGATCGAATGTGACAGTTTCTCATTCATTAGATCTCTCTCTGCGGGCCAATTCCAACATGTATTACTCTTCGTTTCCTCCGACGTGTGTGTATTGTATCCTTTGTGTTCCTCGTGCCTCACCTTGTTTGCATGTGTATCCGTTGTGTGTAGGTCTACATGCGTATGTGTGCCTTTGTTTGTTTGTGCTGCTTGATGTTGTAATCTCCTTATAAGGGCTCGCCCCCCCGCGTCCCTGGCTGAGTCCCAAACGCCAGATTAATGAATCTGAATGCCAACCTGACCCACAGTAAAAAAAGACCTGGAAATTGGATTCCCTCCATTTCCTGTGTGTGTGTGTGTGTGTGTGTGTGTGTGTGTGTGTGTGTGTGTGTGTGTGTGTGTGTGTGTGTGTGTGTGTGTGTGTGTGTGTGTGTGTGTGTGTCTGTCTATCGAATTAGACGTATATTAGATTTGGCTGGCAATCAAGATTGAAATAGATGGTGGCACATTGCTTGAAGAAATGTGTGTGTGTGTTTGTGTGTACAGTGTGTGAGTAGCTGTCATACATTAAGGTCACTGACTCTACAAACCGATAGCATGATGTCATGATGCTGACAATCACACACGTGTAAATAACACATTACATTACATTGCATTTAGCTGACGCTTTTATCCAAAGCGACTTACAATAAGTACATTCGACCAGGAAGATACAACCACACATGCACACGTACTGCACTTGTAGAAACAGATGATTGATATGGTTATCAAGAAAGCAATCCACACACACACACACACAAAACTCTGGCTCTCCGCAGTTTTAGTAAAACTTAACATATATATCCTAGCAATGTTACACTTTAATTTATTTGGAAAATGACAACAGAAGCCCGCTAAGAAAGTGTATTTAGTTGACGCTTTAAGTGGCGGTTGCTAGGTCGATTATTTGTGCATGTGTGTCTGAGTGTGTGTTTACAGACATAAATCATTATGTTTATATGAGTTAGAGATATAAAGATACTGAGCTTGTAAAGAACCAATTTTCCCATTTTCCCATTTTAATTTCAGAGACATCTCTAGCGTGTGTGTGTGTGTGTGTGTGTGTGTGTGTGTGTGTGTGTGTGTGTGTGTGTGTGTGTGTGTGTGTGTGTGTGTGTGTGTGTGTGTGTGTGTGTGTGTGTGTGTATCAACCTCTATTTATCAATGTTTTTTACCTTCTTTTCCCCCTCTACCTTCTAAATATTTATATATTATATCACTTCCTGCTTTCCGTTTTATTTATATATCATGCCACCCTATTAATGAGGTCACAAAGTGCTTTTGATATAATTATCTTTCATTTCAATTTTTCAATTCATTTTATTATTATTATTTTATTGTGCAATGTTTAATTTGTGTCCAAGGTTTTATGTTGTTTTGGTGATTTTGTTTTGTAAAATGAAAAAAAGCCCTCAGAGTAGAACAGGAAATTAGCATAGTTACAATTTAAATAGTGTTCTATTATCCCTTTTTTATTGTGTGAGCGAGTGCGAGTGTGTGTGGACGCGCGCATCTTTTCATCATTCCGTCCATGAGTGTGTCGACGCATGAATTAAACTCATTCTGAATACAGTGTTGATGTTGGAAATGTCGTAGTAAAGAGTAAAGTATTTTTAAATGCTGAAAATTACATGACATGAAAACCGATATAGATGTTTACAAAGACCAAACTTTTATTTTATTTCTTTTTTTTCCTCAAAGATGAAATAAAACTTGACTGGCAAACGCTCAGAAGAGTGTCTGTTTTTCATTTAATCATGGTGGGAAATATATCAAAAGATACTGATTTGACTAAAAGCTCAAATCAATCACAAAATGGACTGTGAGTGTGTAGTCATGATTGGACTGAACTAAATAGCTGTTTGCTAAATTAGCCACGTGTCTGCTTTACAATGTAATCCAAGTCTCCTGTTCACAGTACTTTAAGTAAAATGAGTGAAGTATTTAGTTTTAAGATACTTCCGCCGCTCAGGCGCTTTATCGATGGATCTTGAAACTAATTTTATTGGTTGCATTATGGGAAATGTAAGATCAAACACTTTTAGTTTCACCACAAAGATAATTGGTGTAATTGTTTTTTTACTTTTGCCTAAATCTTCACAATTTCCTGTTTATTTATTGAAATGGGGGAGTTTACTGGAGATGAAAAGATTCTACTGTGACGCATCCTTTCCCTATTTATTTAAAAACAAAAGAGACAACTATGTAAAAGCCTTTTCCCATTATGCTGCTCCTACTGAAGTCTTTAATTAAAGCTGCACATATTGATTTTGCCGTCAAAATGAGAATAAAAAACCTTTTTGGTGTAACAAGTTGCTTAATGTCTCTAACACCTTCCCCATAGCACTATAGTAAGTGTGACACGCCGATGATGCAATTCAGCTGAGGTCTTTTATGATGGTCTAACCGAGGGATATATCATGCTGTATGAACTGTTCTACACGTTTCTACAGCTGTCCAAGCGGGGGATTCATCCGGATTTCCAAGCATTTTCACAGAAATGGAAAGGTGAAATCAGCATCCCAAAGGGTTTGAGTCATCTGGGCCTGTTTGAGTCAAACGAACAAGATAAATGAATAGCAAGAGTCTAACCTGACCCATCTGAAGATCACAGGGTGAATTTCTAAGTAGTAAAGGAGACAACAACTGTTGATTACGGCTTTAAATGCAACTACATCTCACAGAAGGCAAGAAGCTGCACATTGTTTTTAGTGTAATAAAGCAATTTGCTTTAAATTCACACTCATTTCTCTTCTACTGAGCTTCAATAATCAATACACTAACCCTAATGGCTATCTGTCACAGATGGATTCATAGATCATTTGTTGTGCTCTGTGAAAAACAAGATGCTTCTTTGGTCATTCAAAGAAACTATTTTGAAATAGCATCTGCATTGAAAATATATGATGTATTTCGTCAGTCACAACGATATGTTGTCATATCTTAATATCTAAAGTTTGATGCTAATGTGTAGATCTGATCGGTTAGCTTCCATTAAATGCTTGGGATGGGTGGGATGAGGTCAACTGGAAAACTGCCATCATTTGTGCGTTACTCTCTAAATTAATTTAGCTAAACTGCCTCACAGTTAATCATCTCATCAGCATCCGCCTCGGTGTTACCTAATGCTGCAACATGAGAGCAAACACACTGATATTTATAGCACAGGCCTAAGGGGAGTGGTTGTTGGAGATTAACACACACACACACTACCACTCACACAACCACACACACACAACCACACACACACAAACACACACCTGGGACCTGACCAGCAGAACCGCTGTCGGCCAATCAGAAGCTCCACTGTGGTTCCCTGATTTGATCTGAGGCACTTTGGGAAAAGCAGATAAAGGGAGGGTGAGTGTGCTTTCACTTGCTCTGCATTATAGTCCAGGTGTGTGTGTATAACATTTATTTTCTAAGACTGACCTAATTAGACTAAAGAAATTCAAACTTTGAAACTGTTTTGCATGTTATTCCCCTTTTTCTGGTTCTTCTCTGTCAGTTTCCCAACAACCAAGGTGGCAGCTGTTATTCCCAAAGCAGCCCTGCGGTAGCCACGACGGCGAGACACGTCTCCATCCTCTGCTGGAGAGGAACGAGACGAAGAGACAAAGAGTAAACACATCCGTCCTGAGGGACAGAAAGAGAGAAGGAACACGAGAAGGAAGAGGCAGACGGACAGGGGAAAAGACGGAGAGCTACAAAGTGTGTGAGAGGGAGAGAGAGAGGCGGACAGACGGGAGGAGTTGGGATGTGAGACAGACGCAGAGATGGCAATAAACAAATTGAAGCTGTGGAGTTGTTGCTGACACCGATTTATCCTGTGGGATCAGGAAAAAGACAGGAAGTGACACGCTACGTTGATCGTCTCCTCTCTCCTGAGTCCAAATGTTTGCCTCCACGCGTAAAAACATTTTGACACCTCTTAGTTGGTTAATTGGCTCTACACTTTAAAAAAAACAAAAACGTTCTATTATTATTCAGCAACAAAATGATGTTTCTCACCAGAAGCGAATCATTTAAAGACATCAAAAGAAACAGATTGTTTCAACCTTTTACAAACGAGTTATTTTCTCATGCAGCTATTTGAAAAGCTGTGTTTTTTTTTAAAGGGACCCTATTATGTTCATTTTTCAGGTTCATATTGGTATTCTGTGCCTCTACTGTGATATGTCTCCATGCTTTAATGTTCAGAAAGGTCTTTAGTATGGCGAATTTCCGCAACAAAACGACATAGTATTTTGTTCATTTGGTTGTAGTTGGTATCTCCCATAGGATTTACATGGAGATACGCCCCGCCCCCTCTCCAGCGCGTCTTGTTTGAATGACAGGAGCAAACAGCTGACAGCCGCGGTGAAACTCGAGCGATTAGAGCGATGCGAATATTGGGTAGTCTACCATAGTATTTACATGGAGATAAGCCCCTTAAAAACCATGAATTAATAAAGCATTAATTCTGTGTTTACTGCTGTCATTCAAACAAGACGCTGGAGAGGGGGCGGGGCGTATCTCCATGTAAATCCTACGGGTCGGATCCATCAGTAACTAACCTGTAGCTGCTCCGTCCACACTCACAACGTCATACAGACATAAATAAAGCAGCGACTGTATTCGCCATGACAGACAGTCTGTGTTTTGTATATGTTTAACTTTTGTCCAGTTTCTGAACAGATATGAGGAGCTGTGAGCTCTGAGTGTGTGCTAACAGCTAATGTGTTGGACCAAGCGTAATTTCTTGACTGGCAGCAAAAACAACCAATCACAGCAGTGCTTTTCTGGCTGGCTCTGTCCAATCACAAACAAGAAGTGTTCTCCCTAAGGAATACCCTTTCCGTCAAATGTGAAATGCTGTGGTGTTTTGTGAAATGCTGCGGCGTTTTGTGAAATGCTGTGGCGTTTTCTGAAATGCTGTGGTGTCTTGCACTTCAGGGCCACCGTAGAAACCAGTTCCTCTGACAGTTTTGCCTCTTCTTTCTGCAAATATCACCTCTAAATGAATTTGAAGCCATAGCTGTGCCTCGAAATTAAGGGACCAAAATCACTCCGAACTCAAACAACCAAATCAATGACAAAAAACAAACTGTCTTCATCACACACATAAAAAAACAACAACCAAGGTTCAACTCTGTAACAGGAAGTTTATCACCGAATGTTCAGTCATATACTTTATATTAATTATGAATAAAATATCCCTTACATCCAACAATCATTTACACATACACAGTGTCAAACAACTTATCACACAACTATTGTATCTGGCATGCTTTCTTCACTATGTCAAGTGTACGAACTGCTTTTAATTAACTTAACTAGTCCAAAAGCAAAAGATGGTCCATAATTAAGTGGAACTGAGGAGAAGGAAGTGGGACAGAGGGGAATAAAAAGAGAGCAAGAGCAGACATGACAGCCAGGGGCCTCGGGGGGGCCTGCAGGGAGACGAGTCACACCAAATGTCTAATAAGAGTCAACGAGTGTTTGTGTGAGGCTGCAGCCAGCACAGTGTCTGATGGGACGCTGCTGTGTTTGGGCCAGAGAAGGATCATGAGCATGTCTGTTTAAATGAGTGAATTCAACATAAACAGGACAGAAATAACAGAGGTTAAAGCTCACATCTGACATGAAACATCCCCCAGGCTGCCTTCAGGTGGAAAGGGAACTAGCTAAGGCATTAGCAGAATTCACTTTCCTCTCTGTGTGTGTGTGTGTGTGTGTGTGTGTGTGTGTGTGTGTGTGTGTGTCGCTCAAGCAACACACCAACGCCCAATTTAGGCATGTATTCAAAAAAAGAGAACTGATGTTGGCCTTTTTAGTGTCATGGTTTACACTCAAAGACAATTATGATCCTGATTCAAAAGCTAGTGTCATAGTAAAGAAAATGTGGGACTATAAACAACGTTTTATTAAATAATAAAAGGTAACACGAGGGGTAGGTAATCGATTTACAAGTTAACTTGGGGATTTCAAGTCGTTTCAAGTTATAATTTGTGGTATTTTACCAATCAATCAAGGCATTACATTAAGCTGTATAACTAATGATCTAGTATTAAAGCAGCTCGTTGACATTTAATTACAACATTATAGACTTCGAGCTAACAGGGAAAAGATGAATCTGGTGTCAAACTCCCAAATGCCATTGCACCAATATGAGTTTAGAACTACTAAGACACAATCTTTATCTTCCTGCACAAAATGTCCAAACAATTCATGTTGTTTGATCTACAAAGACACTCAACACCTCACGTTAAAGCCACTGGCTGCCAGGTAGAACCAACATGTATGTTTTACAGTAGCCTATAGTCTAAAGATCTAACAACTTAAGCTATTTAAAGTAGTCCTGATATGTGCTATCTCCTTTAAGAATGGTTGTTTCGATGTAACGGGAAAGAAGAACAAGCAACAAAAACAGAGATTGGTATAATTCAATCAAGCATGAAAAGAGTCTCTACTGAAACGGGTACATGGAACTAATGCACATATTTTATAAATGATTTTTTTTTTAAATATGTGCTACTGGACTTAGAACGGCTGTGTCCAACTCAACCCTTAAAGCAGACCGCCTGCGAGGAATGTCTCGTCTTTTTTGTCCTTCTTTTTTAGCAAATGGTGGCTGTTTCACCTGTTTAATACTCAGACTGTATGCATTAGTTTCCAAAAATAGATAGCGGAGAAATTACATTCTGTATGCAGACAGGTAGAGGTGAACAGGCTGGCAATCTTCTACTTTAAAAATTATTAGAGCTCAAAAGGTCAGCGTACATATTTAAAGAAAGTGCTCACACCAGCAGGATGTTGCTGCTGCTGTCCTATACATTGAATACAAACAATTTGATGCACTTTTTTTGGGCTCCAATATTTCTTGACCTGAAAAGCAGAGCTCTAAGATTATTGTAAAAGATGCATTTTACACTGAACTGAATGAAAAAAAACTACCACAAAATAATACATTGTTAAAACTCCATTTAAATAGATGTTAGTTTACAAAGACGTGTGTGTGTGTGTGTGTGTGTGGGGGGGGGGGGGGGGGGGATAGACAGATAGACAGGCAGCCAGTGCTCGCTGAAGGATGGAGGAGAGGAATTTCACCCAAAAACAATTATCTTTGAGAAAAAGCAGAAATGATATTCTTCCCTTAGCCTTCCCCGACCTCTCCTGACCTTCATCCCTCTTCAGCACTTGTGGTCAGTAGTCAAATTCACATAAAACTAAACATTTACACAGAATGTACATAGAGTGCCATCATTATACCCCTCAAAGCAGACAAGACAACAAAACAGAGTGGTATACAAGAACAACAAAATAGTCTTCAAAAATGGCTGAAATAAAGATAGAGGAGACTGATAATTTAAAGTACCGTTTGTGCACTACAATCCTACATTCAATATTTGGCTTAAATGGACAAACTGGGGGAGCTGTGTGGGATCATTTTAAGACATATTCACCCTTAAATAAAATATAACACAAGCTCTTCCTATGTCACTCTGGAGGTGAACGACTGTTACCTATAATATGATATGTTAAGAGGTCACGCTTTGAATTTTGAGGCTTCAGTGAAGTTAAAGCAAAGAGCTGGGGCTTCTTACCACATTATAGAACAATAAAACAATTTGGTATATTGAGCAGATCAACAGAGCTGCAATAAGAACGCAAAATACCACCCTCATTTGGTGATTCAGACCTCAAATACAGGCGCATTTTTACATTAAAACGTCATGATGCAGCTTTATATCCTCATCTGAAGAGTGCCTCCTACAGTGCCGATGCTTTTAAAGCATACTAGGATAGAGCAGATGTCACATCAAGGGATTAAGTTCTGAATGCAAACACGCACACACTCACTTTCAAATACCCTTGAAAAGTTTCAGCCATATTTGTAAAGTTATGGGATTGTGTCTTGTTTTTCAAACGGGATAGATTGGATGGGATGAGGATTTTAAAGGCTTTTGGCCACTGAACCAATTAACTCTGAGTGTGTCCCACTGCATTTTTATAGACGCCTCATTACAAAATACAGTGTCATGTATGCGTGTGTGTGTGTGTGTGAAGTGTTACATCACTCAAGCCCTCCCTTTTTTCTCTCTCAAACAAACACACTCTTATCTAGACAGATGGATGGATGTCTGCTGACCTCTGCCAACCTCCCATTCAACCTTGTCTGAATTCAGTTTGGAGGTTAGAGGTCAGAGACTTGATGCTAAACAATGACGCTGCGACAGATGTGTGTGTGTGTGTGTGTGTGTGTGTGTGTGTGTGTGTGTGTGTGTGTGTCAGGGTACACTACAGTATAATATTATGATCACGCTCCATGAATGAAAGGCGTTAAAATAAATAGCCAATGCTGCAGCTCCCCTTGCTGGTCAGCTCCTGCCATTACAGTTAAAAACTAAACTTTTAAACCCTTATGTTAAAATGTTGCCCTCTTTTACTCTGGAAAATGACCTCTCAGCGTTGTTTAAAAAAAATGTTATGTAGTACTTAAAGAACTCCATAGGCTTTGTTTTAAATAGTTCCTCATCTATTTCTAGGGAATAAGACCATTATGAATCTACTAACATCATATTACCATTAATTGCTTGGGCTAGCTGTATTTATTCTAAAAAGTTTCCCTCAACAAAGTCATCTGTTGTCAAATCCTGCTCTTCTCTCTGCACAGTTTAAAGCTTTCAAAGTGAATAAAATGTGAATGTAAATCTGGTTTCTAACTACAGTAAAGCTTACTGACCAGACAATTTAAATGATGCAAAAAAAAAGGCATCAGACGATATGACATTAAAAGCAAGACATAGACCAAAAAGTAAAAAAAGTAATGATTCTAATGAAATCTTCCAACAAAAAGGCATGTGCATCTGACAAAAGCAGCAAAATAAAAAATTATATAGCTCTGTAGACACGAACATAGCAGTCTGTAATAAAAAAAAAAGGAATAAAATTAGTAAATAATTAATATCATTACTATCCCACATTATAATCATTATAGACCCCAGTTGAATGTAAGTATTTGCTTTTTACACGTAATAGTTTTAACTGAACGACATCTCCGCCTCTGATAGGACAGGAGTGGACGAGGAAGTGGAATCAGCCAATGAGGCGGTGCTATTGTCCATGCTCCTGTTCCAGGGGCAGCGGTCGGGCGTGGAGCAGTTGGAGGGGGGGTCCGACCTGGGGCTGCCCTGGTTTGAAAAGGGCGAGTACAGGGCGTCTGTCCTCAGCCCTTTGTTGTGCAGCTCCACCTGGAGGTGCTGGCAGATCTCCTCCTGCAGGCGCTCATACTCCTGGTCCAGATCCCTCTCCAACTGAGACTGGAGCTACAAGAGAAACACAAAATACACCAAAATATAAACAAATATATTCAAACATTTAATACTATGGTGTTCTATGGTCTTTGTAGGTAACATGGAAATATATATATATATATATATATATATATATATATATATATATATATGGACCCTGGGGAGGAGGATAGTATTCCGGGGAAAAACGTAACATTTCAGATTAAATAGGCACATTTAAATACGGTTATTTATATGAAAATAATTGAAATAGGGTTATTTATATGAATATAATTGAAATAGGGTTATTTCTTTGTCTGTTTTGGCCGATCCAAGCCACCGTACTGGTTTAAAGAAGCTGTCGTGGCATTTTAATCCGTTTCTACATTTAATAGCCACTTTCCTCTATCGGGGTTGTGGGTTATGACGCGCCTCTCTTTGCTTCCAAACAAACTTTGTGGAGAGCGTTGTAGCGTTGAATCACATCAAATGTATTCTTTGATCAAGGCGGCATCCAAGCATGAAGACAAACTTCCTCGCTTCAAATTAACTAAAAGTTCTCCACATCAAAAATGAACAAAAAGAACAAAAGACTATACCGCTTCCCATCTAATCACACAGCTGTGTACCATTGTCATGCCATATATAGGCATACAGTATAGACATGCACGTCACACCCGACAGTGCACATTTGGCAGCAAATAAGTGACCCTTAAATTAATATCTTTTGAAACGTAGTGTGACTCACAAAAATAAATAGTTAAGAGTTTACTCTAAAGCCTTATATTAATAAGACAAACATTCAAACCATAAAGATGAAAGGAAAATGGCTCTAACAGAATATGGTCACTTGACAAATTAAAAGTGACTCAAAGTCGTTTTAATCTCAGAGAAACTTCTATTTCTTTTTTCTTGTTAATGCACAACCTTATTATCACCCCCCTCCCCTAGCTCTATAGCTATTCATTAAGACCCAGATTTGTTGTGGTACATGAATTTCAGTGTGAGTCGATGTGTTTTGCTCACCAGAGGAAGTTCATCGTCTATGTGTTGCAGCATCTCCCGGTGCCTCAGCATCAGCTTGTCCTGCCTCCTGGTCTGAGCCTCCTCCAGCTGGGGGGGAGGAAATAAGAGAAGGAAGGGAGTAAGACATAGGAAGGAAGGAAAGGGACAATGGGAGGTACATTGGATGGGTGTCAGATGGGGGAGAAAAGGTTGCAAGGAAAGTAGAAATGGAGAATGGACAGACGGGAGGAAGCGCAATATGTAAGAGGGGATTAAAAAAGAAAGGATGAGGGAAGGAAGAACGGAGGATAAAATAGGCGGATTAGGGAGGAAGGGAAAAGAAGATGATGTGTGTGAAGAGGGGAGTAAAGATGATGACAAAGGCAGAAAAATGTACAATAAAGTAGATAAATGGCATTCCTCAAGGATTGACTGTGTGTGTGTGTGTGTGTGTGTGTGTGTGTGTGTGTGTGTGTGTGTGTGTGTGTGTGTGTGTGTGTGTGTGTGTGGTTCTTACCCCGCCGATTAAAGAGACAGAATCCTGAATATGTTTCCTGTTGATCTCATTCAATTCCCTAGAGAGAGAAATAGGGGAAGGAAGAGAAGGTGCAAGGAATATTAAAGGATGTGAATAAAAAGACTGTTCCGACTGCTTTAACATGAAATCAAATCTCTATTTCCAGACGAGCTCATTACGTTTCTGCCTTGTCTTTGTCGCGGGTCTTGGCGTCGCTGATGCTGTTCTGTCGCTTCCTGTCCATGATCCTCTGGAGCTCTTTCTTCTCCCTGCAAGTACAATGCTATTACATCCAACTGAAGACAACTTGCAATTACCAGAGGGGACTTTTCATGGGAACATTTTTTTGAATGTTATTCAAAAACAATGCTTGAGGCAAAACCAAAAGTCCCAATATGGCACTATGGAGAAAACTAAGACCTATTGATACCATAAGCAGCTGCACTTACTTCTCGCATGTCTCCTTGAGCTTCTTCAGCTGAGCTGCTTGGCATTCATTGGCCGTCTCCTTTAACTTCTTGAAGGCCTGAAAACAAACGGCAGCAGACGACCAGCTGTTAGAGAATCGCTTGTGTGTGCGTGTGCGTGTGTGTGTGTGTGTGTGTGTGTGTGTGTGTGTGTGTGTGTGTGTGTGTTTGTGTTGTTACCTCCTGCAGGTGTGTTTGCTGCTTTTCCCGCTCTGGTAGGTGAAGCTGCTGTCGGAGTCTAAGGAGTTCTTGCATCTGCCACTCCCTCAGCTGGACCGACTGCTTCTCCAGCTCCTGATCCAAAGCGGTGAGCTCGCGCTGCACCGGCTCATTGGGCTCACTGAACACACAATGAACTCTGGTTAAACACGCAGTATGTCATGTTCTGCCACTAGTTGCCTTCACCACCGTTCTGGAGGTGTTGACCCAGAGCTGAATTATCTGCTGAGATCTTCTCCTCCCCAAAATATAGACCTTTGATTAAACCCGATAAGAAACTATGAATAAATATGTTTTAAATAATAAATGTGAGCTTCTCCAGTATCTTACACAGCTTGTGTCTCTGATGATTTAAGATTCTGATGTGCAATGACTTGAATCACTCATCTGGTTAAAATATACAGTTAAAGAACAAGCTATATCGAAAAGGGTTTGTGAGAAATGTGGCTTTAAATTGGACAACAACTCACTTTATGACAGCTTCTTGCAGACGACACAGACACATGCTTAAAGGGAATAAGACCCCATTACAGAAGACCAAATAAAAAGGCACCGTTACAAGTTTAAATTAGATTTTTGTTGGAAACATTTGGGTTAATGCAAGTACACAACAATTGAAATAACATTTGTGAACTCATTTAACGCTGAAATATGAAATAGTATACCCTTAGGTCAGCCTATTTAGATCCATCTATCTTTATAATATCAATCTATTCTTATTTTTCATCCAATCTTTTTCTCCTTCCCGCCCTAATTTACGATCTAATATTTGATCTACTGTTCTTTCTTCATACTGTTCATCCATCCATCCTTACTTCTTCCTGATGCTCCGTTTGAGGTGTTTCTCCATCTGACTACGTCTCCTCTGGGTGTCAGACTGAAGCTGGCTGCTCCGACTCTTCTGCTCCTTACTCATATTCCACACCTACAAACACACGGGGACATTTTAAATCATTTGTTTTGCCGAGGAAAATGACATCACATGGAAAAATATAAATCCTATGGATGGAAGTGCATGTTTCTGTGTGTGCACCTTTTTGAGGTGCTTCTTGCGGATCTCTTTGAGTTCTTTGCTTTGTTTCTTTTGGAGCTTCAAGTAGCCCTTCTGCTGCTTCAGCTCCTCTATAGACTGGACCTGGATGTCTGACAGAAAGAATTATAACCAATTATCATATCATTCAATTTGAATAATACTGACAAGACCTGCTAGTTTGTCCAAGTGATGATAGGGAATGAATGCTGGTTTGACCTTACCTGTCAGGACAGTGGCTATGAGGTCCTCCTTTGGACTTTGTACTACACACACATGCAACAAAAAGAGAAGGAGACGCACAGACAGAATGTGTGAAATGGATGATGGGAGAATGAACCAGGAACACATAATTGTGCCTAATGCAACTAAGAAATTGCTAATAAAATTCCCCCTTGGAATTATAAACACTAAAAAGCTTCCAATAAATGGGATGATGATTTTCACAACACAGTGAGTGGATGTCTGTACTGTTAATGGGCTCTTAATAAATGCCTGCAATCTAATGTAATACTGACAGTGGAAACACATTAATGGCGGTAAGTTAAACGTATCAATCATTGAAAGTGATGCCAATCTAATGTGTTACATTACCATAACACGCTTTCCAAAGTGCAGAGAAATGACAGGTGTGTGTGAGACAACATGTATCCTTGTGTATGAACAATGTGTAGAGGTCTCTACCAGGTGCAGGTAGTTTGATGATGTCAGGGGCTTCGACCACTAGGCAGGGGGGAAGGATGGGGAAGAGGGAGGGTCCCCGAAAGTCCTCCCACTCCCCCTTGCTCTCGCGCTCTTTGGGCTGGTTGGGAATATGCTGGAAAAAAAGCGACAGGAAGATGAATTTGAGTGATTGACAGCACACCGTTTGCAGATATTTAAATGCATGGGGTTTTAGGGATTTTTCTTAACCACACACGTTTTGAATGATGTGCGAATCATCAGGATGTTGTTGTCTTACCTCACTGTTGTCCTCTATGAGAACAGCCAGCTGAGTCTCCCTCTTGTGTAACTGACTGATGTGCTTAATGGGGTTGGTCAGAGCCTCTGCATACTCTGAGAGACACACACACACACACACACACACACACACACACACACACACACACACACACACACACACACACACACACACCATTATTCTTGAACATCAGCAAAGTTGTATGAAGTCTTTTATGGTAAATCAAGTCTTAAAATCAGGAAACTTTCATTAACTTTAATATTTCTAACGTGTTTTGTCTGAAACATTTTTTAGCAGTAAAGCAGAAAAGTCAGGAATCTATATCTGAAAGTAGTGCCACTTTGGAGTGAAGGGACTGAAGTGTGAGTGTGTTGCAGAGTGTTGTTGTTGATGTGGGTCTCACCCTGGTGTTCATTGGGGATGTAGTCCTGAGCCTCAGTGTAGACCAGCAGAGAGGGCAGGATGAGCGGCTGGTTCAGCTCACTCTTCAGATTAATGTAGTGGTAGCCTGGAGAGAAGGAGGAAGAAAAGAAAGACAAAAATAAATACATGACTACTCTCCATTGGTCCTGGAGAGGATAATGGACAGCAACACTGAGTGCAGAAATACAGGACATCCGCTTTGTAATAACAAGACTTTTCTAAGAAAGAAAAAGATCTGGTGATCCATTATGCAACAATCTAAAGTCATGTTAGATGCTTTTCTTTAGGTGAGGTTTCATTTGTCCATGCATCTTAATAAGTTCATTCAGTTTGAAATCAACATCAGATATTCACCTATTTTCCACAAATATTCAATTAAACATGTTTGTTTAAAGGACTGACCCTGGCAAACCTTATTTTAATTTTTGTGTGTGTGTGTGTGTGTGTGTGTGTGTGTGTGTGTGTGTGTGTGGTGCTGACCAGGTCTTATGGCTGACACAGGGAGGATTCGATGTCCAATAAACTTTCCATTTTCTTCAAACACCGCTATCCTCAGAGAGGCCAGTGTGGGGAGGACCACCTGCAAAGAGAAGAGGTGATGTCATTGGTGCAGTTAACAATCAGGAGTATAAAGACAGACAATGAAGGCTGACAGGACATTTCACATGACATCTGTATCCTAGTATGCGCACCTTATTAAACACAAACATGTCATCGTCCCACACGGGGTCCAGAGAGTTCCCATTGGATGTTTTGGTTCTGTACTTCCTCTTTGTATCAGCAGGAAGTCCAAATATGTCCACTTCCACATACACGCCCACCTTTTTATCAATCAGAAACTGCCCTGAGATCACCTGGTGGAAATCCAACAAGTTAATTATAACAACTCTTAAGAGAACTTTAATATCTGAATGATGGCATGTTTTGTCCTTACCCTAATTTTAACAGTATTAGCGACTATCCCATCCACTATGTTTTCTGTGAAAGGGTCAAACTGTTTGTCCGTCCTTCTCATGAACTCAGGTTTCAGCAGGTATCCGCTGTGGCCGTTGTACTCAAACACACCCATGTTCAGCTGCATAGGGAGGTCTGGAGGAGGAATGCAGAGAAAGGGGGGAAAGAGATGAGAGGCATCAAGAAAAGTTGGGAAGAGAGGGATTTACAGGGATGAAGACTAAGATGCTTTAGCTTGACCTCTCTGAGTAGGGAATTGTTTATAAGGCTGAAGAAACTTTCTAAATACCACAGTATCTGCCAGCTACAGAAATAAAAACTTAAAAAAGACCTTATTTATGGTTCTGTGGATACTTTGTACTTTGAGGGCCGAGCTCACATGCCTAAGTTAGGCCATCTCATGCTAAACTGCAAAATGACCCTCAGCAGAATGTGCTCAAACAAACAAGGTAGCATCAAATCACACTCAGCTTGTTTACATATTGTATCGGCCTAACTTGTGGATTAAAACATATCAGGTATGAAATTAATCAGCAGGGCCTTTGGTGAGAGACCAAACTTTTCAATGGATTTCAGTTTTTAATAATAATTATAATACATGTTATTTGGAGGTGCCTTTCTTAACACCCAAGGACACTTTACAATTCATAAGATATTCGGAAAAAAAGGTTTGCAACTGTAAAACCAGATGAAAAAACAAGACTGACAGGTTGCTATAACGCTGTTTTCCAATCACAAGTAAGCCCCGTCCTAAAGCAAACGCTGCTTTTTCATTTTTTTTGTCAAAATGGGGCAATCATTTACAAATTTAACATCATGCTGTATTAAAGAATGATTGGTAATAGTGTTTCAGACCATAGACTCCTAGTTAATAAGTCAAATGAGAAATACGGTCATTTTGTCATAGACTTCTATAAAATCTGAATTATTTATATATATATACATAAAGTCATAAATGAGCACAATAGATATATCCAGGAAAAAGTTCAAAAAGGCTGCCGACAAACTGCGGAAAAGAGTAGGAGATATAAACGGGACTCACCGAGGGTCTGGAAGTTTAGCGCCACCATCTGGCAGCCGACGTTCCAGAATAGCTGCGGCATGTAGTTGGAGCTGTCCACTCTCGTTCCTTTAGGGTAGATTCTGCTCAGCTGGTTCTTATTGTACCTGGAGGAGCGCTGTTAAGAACCAAAGACTGTATACGTGGCATATGTGTTAGCAGACATCATTTTCTTCACGTTATTTTAAAGTCTAGGCAGCTTTGAAGATTCTTACTCCCTCACTACTTTCCATTCTAATGGGCAAAATAGAGGCGTTTGAATTTCCTAAAATAAGTTGTCAAGAGGTAACAAGCCTGCAAGGATACTCTACAAACTTGATGGGGGAAGCCTTCAGGATGTCCATGCCTTTTGTTTCCACCAATGAGGACATTTCGAAGTACTTTCTTCTCTCTGGTGGAAAGAAAGAGAGAGAAATAAGAGAACTTATTCATTCAGAAAAACCGACACTGTTTTTACTGGTTCAGAAATTGGTTAAAATAGTCAATGTGAGACAGGTCTGTATGAAAAGATCAATAACCACAAATGACTTCACCTTCTTTCACTTCATATCTTTCTCATACACTTGTCTTTTTGTATCCCTGTAGTTGTTTTATGTCTCTTTGTAGATGTGTTGTGTCTCATCGTAGTTGCTCTATGTCTTTTTGAAGTAGTTTTACCCCTTTTCATAGTTCTCAATCTCATTGTAGTTGTGTTGGTCTCTTTGGCATAGCTGGTAGGCCTGTTTAGTAATCTATCCATGCACACACATCCACACACTTACTGTTTGCCACCTCAAAGCTCTTGAATTTGACAGGCTCGATGTAGTTGACAAGAGTGGACATCTCCTCTGTGGCATTCACCTCACTGCTGGCTGTACCCTGAAGGAGGCAGATAACACTGATCCATCAATCATCCAGTCACACAACACTTCAGCCCGTCACAACATCATCACCCGCTGGAGGCTCTTACCTCGTCAGAGTTGGGCTTCTTCTGGTCTGTCACCGGTTCGTCCTCCTCATCCTCCTCGCTTTCTCCCTCAGCCCCTGAGACATGTAATACATACACTTTAGGCAAAACTTATGTCTAACTTAATACAACTTAAATTCATCTCTGCCTTCGTCTAGAACCCACCAAGGGATTTGCGTGGCTCAGAGTCTTTGACCATCCTCTCAGCTAGCTTCTCCTCTCCGTTAGTCAGCAGCTGGCTTCCCTCGCCATCTGTCAGTGGGCCTTCTACACATTTAACAGGAAACTTCTAGTTTAGTGCAATAAAAGTTTAAAGGAATAACGGTTATTTTAACTCCATTGTAAGCTTGTAAATTCCTATTCCTCAAAACACTCATTAGAGTCAGATGGGAGTAACATTAGAAGTGAAATCAGACATGTAGGTAGTCGCCTGCTCTCACCGTTGTTGTGCGACGGTTGCTCCTCCAGCTCTCTGCGCCGTATGCTGCCGCTACTCGAGGGTCGGTGGTGCTGGTGCTTCTTCTTGTTTTTGATGAGAATCCTCCCCAACAACTCCTGTGGGGTGGGGAGCGGCTGACCAGGGTCCAGCTGACCAAACACAAAAGACAACATGTAACATTTGGAAGAAGAATTAAGGTAAGTAAGGCTGTGTCAGTGATGTGGACCGGCAACATATTATACATAGTTGGTGTTAAGACACAAAAGTCACAGGGTCAAGCACAAACACTACTGTATAACTTTGTAAATAAAGTTAACAACCTTAAAACTGTTTAAATCAAGAACAGTTTAAGATTCTTAAAACTCGGATGATTGTGTTTAATTTCAAGTGTTTACATTCTGCCTTTTCAAATACTTTGGTAAAAAACTACATTAATTATACATTTTAATCTGCATGCATATAAACACATGAGGAAATGTTTACATATACTTTCTATGAATACAAGCTCATCAGGAATTTCATTCATACAGTATGTACTTCATTTTCCATTAACCCTTTCTTAGAAAAACACTAGAATAAAAATGAAAACATGCACAACTTTCTGCAAATACCCTTATGTAACCCTTTCACCTATAGAATAATGGAAACCGATCACACAAAATGTTTTAATGATCAAATCTGGTACCAGGTTGGTGTAAGTTTTTTTTTTAATACAGACAAATGCATCACAAGTTGTGTCTCAGCAAAAATAATATCATCTGGTTATCACAAGCTGTTTCATCCTTTTGATGGTTTGTAAGTTGATTAACACCATGACTGTGGAGTCAAAGGACATGGGTGTGTTGAATCTTTCCTTAAGGAAATGTCAGTGACAAACCACTTAAGATGAATTGTTGGTCAAAAAAAGGTCTTAAAAGGATACCATAAATTAATGTATCCCACAAGGACATTGTTCACGTCAGATCTGCCTGGGGGTCAGTCTTACCGGATATTTCTCCAGTGGATCGATGAGCAGGGCGTCTCCAAAGATGGTCCTGCAGTACTCTGCCATCTTGGCCTGCTGCTTAGCCCTGACAGAGCAAGAAACACGGATTACTTTCTCATTTACTTTAACTCTTAAATTAAAACCCAAATTCCTCGCGATCATCAATTGCTATTATAACAGCCCAGATTTATTTTCGACATCAAGGAAGACTGTTTAAAACTTCCAATAAATGCTTGAATATTGCATCTGGTTCTAGTGATATATACAATATAATACAGCTTTATTTATAGAGCACTTTAAACCTCCAGACCAAAGTGCTGTACAGGCAAATAAACAAAACATACAAAAAGTAACACAGCTCAGCTCACACACCATAAAACAAGTAGAAGTAACAAACAATAGACAATTTAAAAGCAATAAAAGCAGCGCTCCAAAAGATATACATTTGTCACTTACGAATCTACGTGGTTTTCAAAGGACAGGATGAGGGGGTACGCCGAGGTCTTGAAAGCACTCTCTGCTATCGCCTCGATCACCTCCTGCAGGCAGAAAGAATAAAACATTCAAAGAAGCTCTAAACCTTTCTTGCTTCAGTTCAGGGCAAGAGGTCCCCATAATAATGTTTTATAGTTTTACTAACAGAGGAGGAGAAATCGCACCTCAGCATGTAAGTGCTTTATAAAGGGGAACATATAAGTCAATAAACTAGACCCAATGTCTTTTTTTCTATTGAGGTTTTCCCATGAAGCTTTATATGTCTGTCCTCATATCTTAAGAAAATATCTTTATATAGAATGCTAATTTAGAAATAAAATGTTATAATTAATCATTCATGGTATTTACAGTATTTTAACGCTTTTCCAAGAGCTCAAAGCGCTTTACATTATATTACATATATTAGACATGTAATACATTGAATACTGTGGATAATACGCACAGGAGCAATATTAGGGTGAAGTGTCTTGCCAAAGGACACAACGACATGCTGACTGCAGTGGGGGTCAAGGTGGGATTGAACCTGTATATCTGAAGATAAGAGCACTAAACCACAGCCGCCCCAATTCATGTTCATGGCTGGAAGTGAACATTTAACACCCTTGTAAAATCCTGTATAGTACATATATATGAGAGCAAAGTCTCTTTAACATTCAAACTCAAAGGGAATAATCCTGTATAATAAATGAAAATCGACCCCACCTTAAAGGGGATCTCAGTGGTCATGGTGAAGCCGTGGGTGATGTAGGGCTCCTCGTCCTGCGGCCGGCCCTTCCAGCAGTCCAGCTCGATGCAGCGGCAGCCGGTCAGCAGCACCTGGCGGTACATCTCCACCGAGGAGAGGCCGGTCAGCTGACCCACTGCACACACACAGAAAGGAAGGGCAAATGGTTTTATATGTAAGATAGATATTCAAAGTTAGCATTGATAAACTCAGATAGGTACTAGGCTGCATTTCTTGCAAGAAAGCAACTAATTATTCTGGAATTGTCAGCAAATTCACTTTGAAATCTGCTTTGAAATTACCTAAAATGCTGGCAAGAAAAGCTATTGATGGTGAAAATGGTCAGGAATGAAGTCCCCTCTACTTCCATTAGAAAAACTGTAATCGTAATCAGTACTTTGACTCTAGAAAAAAAAATGCCGCTTTTTCGATAGAAGAACTCTTTTTTTGCAGAAACGTAAGAAACCATTGCAATGGTTTTTGATATGATCATTGTAATATTGTTTTCTGAATTTAAGTTCATTATACCTGTGTAAAAAGGTCTGAACTGGGGACAATGAGCATTAATCCATTTATACAAAAATGTGCATTTAATGTCACCATTGTCTGTCTCTATAGAGTTGCCTCATTTCTTTATTTTGTATCTTTCAAGGCGCAGACATTTTGTCTGTACGTTTAATTATTTGGAAAATGTTGAATATTAAAAAAAAGTTCTGAGGTGTGTATCTTTTTTACCTGTGAGGTATGTGTTGTGTGATGAGTTGATAAAGTAGTGAGACAGCGGCTGATTCATGTCGTCGATGATATCCAGCCTCTCTGGAGGAACAATGCTGTTTTCTTCTCCTCCCAGATACCGAGTGAAGGCCTGTAAACTGATCTGATCTGAGACAGAGAGAGGGGGAGAAGAATGAAACGTGTTAACCTGTAGTTAGAAAAGGTCAAACTTGTTTGGTGCTCTGAAGATTTCAAGGGCAGAGACTGGAGGATAATATAATTAATGTGCTCGATTTCATTCTGACAAAAAGGCTTCTGTTTTCTGACTTAAAGGGAGCTCCAGCTGAGTCTGAACACTGCGGGCTGGATTCTTGATCACCTCACAGTTTTTGGCTTAATGGTGTCCTAGCAGGGAAGCTAACGGCAGACAAGGCTATGCAAGTTCCACAGTTTTTCTACAGTGTATCCACAGCAACACGTGTCGAGGACATTTGATCAAAATCGCAGCTGATTCCCACATTCTGGATGAGAATAGATATCTATTTCAGTGGATGTCTCAGGATTTAAGAAAAGGACAACATGCTGCTTTAAAATAACCAGGAATCAATCATACCAATAAACCTGTAATACTCTCAGTACTACTGCAGCTGGTAAACCCTGCTTTGGGACAAACAGATCAAATCTACAAGAGGACACAGCTGCACGTACTCTGAACTCTTGCTTTGAACTCTTATTTACGTGACATGATTCTCTTTAAGTGTGGGTCTTTGATTCAGCAGCTAAATAAGGTCAGCGTAACATGGACATTACCTTGGATGGTCTTTGGGCAGCTAATTAAAGGTAACAAAACCAGGACTGATTTATATTAGCAGCACTGTGTATTTGTATCGAATGGAACATTTGTATTCAAAGTCCAACGTCTTCTAAGGTCTTGTTTTATCAATTTAATATGAAATAAAAAAGAGAAAGCAGGATATGTCGAAATAAGCTGAAACATCTTTTGCTTTTTGGCATGAGAAATTACTTCAACAATAATTTATTTGGCCATAAGGTTATCGTTTAGTTGATTGATATTTTCAGCTCTATTAATCACACAATGGAATTTCTACCAGGTTGTAAGCTATGTTTTTTTATCAGTATCAAAAGCATGAACCCCCCCTGGATACCCAGAGGTGAAGACACAAAAATCCAAGCTAATTTTGTTTGTTTTTGCATCCAATTACCGTACATCTCTGTTCCGTCAAATGCTGGTGCATGATGCAGAAAGAACATTTGATTGCAGCTGCAAATTCAGATTTCTCTGTCAATATAGCCCATGTTGTTGCTTAATTCGAGTACACAAGCCATCGACATAAAATGATTCTCATTAATGAAGATCATATGTTTCATCTGCTCTGGATACAAGCATCTAAATGTCAAGAATGTGTACACATAAATAAAGAACTCTCAAAGTGACGTACCTCTCTCCAGCTGGCTGACGTTGGTCTCGTATTCCTCCATGATCTGTCGGACCTGCTCTCTCTTCAGGGGGGGGTACAGCACCTCGTTCAGTCGGGAGTCTCGCTGCCTATGGTTAATGAATTCTATCAACTGGTCCAAAGAGATGAACGGCTTCCTCTTGGAGCCACTGCGAAAGAGAAAAGAGTGTGTGTGTGTCACAGATAAAGGTTGCTGGCATTACAAGGAATCCTACAAATACAACTAGAGCACCATTATGAAACGATTTAGGGTGGGGTTTAAACCTTTGGACAACATAATGGAAAGAGATTGGATTTGTTTGTAAAAATCACACATGTTATCACATACCTTTCCTCAAAGATGCTTTGTACCTCAGGCCGGAGACAAAGGCTTTCAAGAAACTTCTGGAAGGCATCCCACGTGAAATCATCTGGCTTGATTCCCTCTGTCTGCTGAAGGAGAACAAACAAGATTGTATAGAAAGATATGGAGGGAAAAGCAAGAAGGAAAATGACCAAACTGAGGATAAAATACTAAATGTAAGTCATTCTAATCTTTACTAATGATCCCCAAAAACATTGAAATACTGTAAATGTTAAGGGCTGAAGATAATTAAGCCCAGAATTGTGGATCAGATGTCCTTCTGTCTTTTCCCTCTTCATGTGTTTTCTGCTACTCTTCCAGCAGGAGGCACCAGAGCACAACAATACAAAGAGAAGTGCTGACAGTGCAGTTTGCCCAATCTTACCTCTTATTCAAAAATGAAATGTCTTGTGACTCTAAACTGATTTTCAAGAAAGATTGCACTGGGCAATTAGACAAAAGGAACCTTGTTGTTCACCTAACAAACCACACGCCTGCGGTCCCTTTCACTGCAGAGACTTTCAGGTTGGACAGAATGAATGAAGCCTGGGTTTCTGTTTTTTTAACAGTTGGAAATGTATTAGGGACTATTGTGCAACTTCTCACCTACTTGAGATCTTGTGTATGTAACCTTAAAATGGGGTTACTATTGTGTCTTCATTTTGCAATCAAGCATAAGACTTTTGCACTGTCAATAACTGCAATCTAAAGTTTTGTTTGCGAATCCAAACGTTTAGTTTGATGTTGCCCTAAATGTGAGTGACAGCTTGGCATCATCCGCAGTTAATAAATGAGAGCTGTGAATCGATCTGTGCTTATTAAACATCCGTGTTGGTTGGAGCCAAACTTCTGGTTTGGCAAACATAGCTTTGGAATTCTTCTTAGCACAACTCTTTATCTTTTTAGACATATTTGCTCTAAAGTCTTTTTGACTGCATATTAAAGAGAAACCCCATACCTTAATTGCAACAGGAAAAAAAATGGTATAACATTTAGGGAAATAGACGTATTTATTCAAAGTTAGGTGATAAGATTTACACTACTCAGTAAATATGAAGGTGCCAGTAGCTGGTTGGCTTAGCACAAAGCTAAGTAGAGAAATCTAGCTGTGACTGAGAACCAGTATTTAAAGTCCTTAGCATTATATATGTTGTTTGTTTCATCTGTGCCAAAACAATCTTAAACTCTTGATTAAAGTTCATTAAAATGTCCACTTTAAAGCTACTCTCCCACAAGCCTGCAGCCTTTGGTGCCTTTCTGACAGAGCAAAGGCATGCAGAGAATGCTTTGCAGCACCCCAGGGTGACGGACTGATTTGCAACTTTTCGAATTTATGAACCAACATACTGAACAGGCATTTTTAAAGCTGCCCTGTGGTCAGTGATGGCTTCAGATGATTACCTTGTTAGTTACGAGGCCACACTGCTCCAGAGCCGTCTCCACTCTCTTTTTATCTGAGAACATCTTGAGGATACTGACAGAAAGAAAGAGAGTTTGGAGAGTTAGCAGTCATTATTCAAAAGGATTCCTTTAGCATGACCATCAACAGTGAGGAGGTAAAACCAAAAGTGAACTTAAGACGAGAGAAAGTGGAAGAGAGACAGAGAAGAGGAAAGGAAATGAAGAAGTGGAGAGCACTGGTGTTTACAATTCTGTACAAAGTTTAAAATGTGGTAGATGTGTGTGTTTCTCACTTCTTCACAGGAATCTTCCCATCCTGATTCACCTGCAGCTTTAACTTAGTGTACCTGAAACAGAAATAGAGGGTTTAAAAACCAATATCTGAAATCTACAGTTCCCGAAAGTTAAGATAAGACTTCTTCTTACGCTTTGTGCAGGAAGGTGTTCCGCGATGCGTTCTGGGAAAGTATGTTTGTGGCCAAGGTGAAGAGCTCATCTGTCCAAATCTGGAAACACACATAAAACAGGGTTGTTTAACTCTTCGTCTGATGTCAAAACTAAGTGGAACAGTTACTATATACACAACACACACACACTCAGAGGAGAAATCCCTCTTTACAACCCCTAAACACGCACATGCCTTTATGTCAACATCGTAAAGTGAGCAATTAGCATATGGCCTGAGGAAAGAAGGAGACTAGTTTAGGAGATAAGGAGAGAGGATGGAGAGATGACAAGAGAAAGATAAAAATAAAAGGGAAAGTTCAACACTTAACCTGTATTAACCTGTCTAACCTGTATCGCTATTTATTAATCTAGATTGTTTTGGTGTGAGTTGATCACAAGCCTCTTGCCCATGAGACAATGAACGCTTCCCTTTGTGTGGTGATAGAGTTGGGAGGTGTAGTTTGGTAGAGAGAAAATAGTTCCTACAGGAAACCCAAGGTGGAAGAAGTACCCGGATGAATATTGTGTTGAAATACTGGATTACAAGTAAAAGTCAAAATGTCGATAAAGTAGTAGTAATTAGGAGTTTTATCAGCAAACGATCTTTCCTGCGTGAAAATTATAATAACAGAGTGTTATATTACTATAGAATATTATATATTGCTGTTTTTATCACAAACAAATGCATATAGGAGCATGCTCATGTTGTATTTTGTGTATTTAAAATGGTTTAATACTGTGTTCAGGAGTAGTGTACTGTACTGCATCATATCAATAAGGCATACATGGGTTTCCGATTTGAAAAGTAACTACAATAATTAAATAAATGTTGTGCAGTAAAAAAAAAAGTACATTTATGTCAAAGTAGTACTTAAGAATGGGACTTGAGTAAATATACTCAGAAGAAACTGCTTACAACTAGGTCTATAGTCAACGTTGATAATCTTAAGTAACCGTATTGGCATTTCTGAAAAAATATAATGTTTTTGTGGTTTTGAATAAATGTTTTGGGCGAGTGCCATCGGCTTATATTGTAAAGAAGGCACACATATATAGGCAGCTCATATTTAAACAATCTAGATTGAGTTTGGGTGAACTGTTCCTTTAAAGCCAGGTTTAAGTGAGTAGGTTATTGGACGGTGATTTCCAATGTTACCTTGGCTGTATCTTCCTGCATGGCCTGGAAGTTCAGGTAAGAGATGTTGACCAGGTCATTGCCATAGACGACGGTTACCAGCTTCCTCTCTACGCTGCCCCCCTTACCGAAGCCGAGCACGTCCCGCAGCTTGGCGTCCTGAAACAGAAACACACACTTTTTATAGACACACACTTTGCATACATAATGTATCGACCACAACACTCTCCATCCTTCCCGCTCCAGCTCCAGCTCTCGGCCTCCTGAGAACAGTAAATGTGATGCATGTGGTGTAGCACTCTGATCTAATTAACTAAACGACTCTTTCCTCCTTTTTAGACTCTTTATCTGCCACCAACCGTCTCTAACACTCAATGTCTCTCCATCACTTCCTCTCTATCATGTCTCCCTTTCATTCCAATTTAACTAATCAACTCGGATGGATGTTCAAGACAAATCCGGCCAAAGTAGCGCACAAAATGTACTCAAGCAGCAAGCGAGAGTTTAGAGGATCAGTGCAATCAAATTACGGAGAAAACAAACAGCGTCCATGTGACTCAAGACGTTACACAGGCCTCACTTTAAACAGTTTTCTCTGAAACCATAGAAATAGTCCTCGTAAAACTGTTGACAGCAAGTTCTGTGGATTTTCAAGAGCAACATTTTAGATAGAACATCTACAGTGTTTCCCACACACACGTGGCTCAGGAAGTAGACGGCCGTCGTCCAATTGGAAGGGGTAGTGGTTTGAGCCCCAGTCCATCAGGATGACATGTCCTTGGGAAAGATATTGAACCCCAAATTGCTCCAGATGGCATTGCCAACAGTGTGAATGTTAGTCCACGTTTGGGATTGGAACTTTGTAGGGCCACCTCTGCCTCTGTATGGATGTGTGTGAATGCTAGTTTGTGCTGTAAAAGCATTTGATTGGTCGCAAAGACTGGAAGAGTGCTCCATTAATGCACTCCTTAAGTATTACACAGACAAGTAGCTGAATATAATCTGGAGTTTACAAATGGTTCGCCTCTGCCCAAATGTGTCTGTCTACTGTATGTTCTTAACACAGTGTGGTCAATGTGGTAGACACAATTTATGCAATCATTTAAGAAGGACATAGTACACATAGTACTGATAATACAGTTTGACCAATATACAGATCATTCTGTTTAGTTAAAATAAATAATAAACAATAAGTAAAAACATTTAAATAATGATAATCTATTTATCATTTAAAGAGCTGTTTTTATTAAATCCTCCCGTGGTTTGGTGCAGTTCAGGAGGCATACACTTAGGTTTCTTTTACCCAGGGTTTTCTCTGATAAAATCTCTGTAAACTATCTGCAGTTTGTGACTTTAGGCAGTTGAACCAGTCTGATATGATTCTTTTTTGTTCCTTCTCTAAAGACCACATTTCGAAATAACTTAGCTGTCATCACCACATGACAGCCTACATTTCACATAATGGATCCTAGAAATGCTGTTTTCCTGATATTATGCCTAAAATGTTTGGTTTGAGTTATTAGCAAATAAATATGAAGTCTTAACCAAATGAAAGCAGAATCAAATGTCACAGTGACAGCTTTTTTGTAACCAATTTGACCCAGGAGCTAGCATATGTTTGAACCACTAAAGCCACTAGCAGCGTAATATCAGCGTCTCCTTCAGCCTGATCTATGTCTTACAAAACGACTTCCTCGCTAACGGTCACTGGTTATATCACTTCCTGTCTGAGAGCCCATCTGTCAGCAGGCTCATTAACGCTCCGTCACCTTTGCACCATCAGCTGAGGGAGGAAACACTCGCAGACAGTGGACACACAAGGTTACATCTTTCTGTAACAGTCACACCTCTTGTCAGAGGACAAAGTTACACACACACACACACACACACACACACACACACACACACACACACACACACACACACACACACACACACACACACACACACACACACACACACACACACACACCTTTGGTAGTTTGGCGTATTTTCCTGTCCTGGTGTCCCTGATGGTGTTGATGTCCAGAGTCTCCACCTCCTGTAAAACGGATTAAATAAAATATAAATAAATAAAAAGTCAGTCAATCCCTAATTGATCACTTATTTTGCATCAACGACAGAAATTCCCCAATTGCATCAGTAATAGCTACGTTTAGAAATATATTATTAACTCAACCAATGAGGTAATGTATTTTGGTTGTCAACAGGATTCCAGAAACATTTCATTTCATTTTTGGAGCAGCTCAGAATTTGGTATTTTTGGATGGAAACAAATGAATAGCCATCATGTTTGGTGTACTATTCAGTATCACTGTTGAAAATCAGGGAAAGAGGAAGCAGTGAGATTAGCTGTAATACATCATCTGTAATCACTTGCAATTTTGAACTAAAGATATAAGGACAGTTAAGGGCCAACACACATTTGTTTGTTTAACAAAAGGCCATACCATCAGCCTTAGCTTTCATTTATGCTAAAACGCACATGTTTTCATGCTAACAGAAGAAAACATGGGCGTTTTGGTGAATGTCAACTCAAAACAACGACACCAGTCAAACGTTTTCTTAAAGTAACAAATTATTTTCCTGGTTTCAGATGTGTTGTGAAATACTGAGTTTGGTCTAACACTTCTCAGATTGACAGTATCAGAAACAGGATATTTAGAAAACAGAGGGCAGAATACACAGATGAATTGACAGATTACAATGATGAAAAACAGTGATTTTAAGACAAGCTGTTTTTGAGATAAGTGCTCAAAACATCGGGCCATATTGAGGTCAAGGGGTGATATTTGATGCGCTCGAGTAGAGGGTAGAGTTTGCAACCACAGGAAATTTACATAAACAGGTATGGGTGTAAGTATGTTTACACACATGTTCTGCTGTTTGCAATTCATAGCAACAAGCAGAAATATTGATGGAACACAAATGTATTTCTGATATGTTTATGCCCTCGACTTTCTCTTTCCACGTTTGTCTATCTTATCAGTCTCTTCTGCTTTTTTAGACATAAAACACAGCAGTGACATATTTACTGTTTGTTTAAAAAAACTGAAAAAATAAAACTGCACACACAATTTGGGTAACATTTGCATAACTGATGTTGCGACACAAGTAGTGTTTGTATCCATGCAGGCATGCAAAAACGGGAAATCCCCAGAGAGGACATATGAAAATAGTTGCAATGCATAACAGTAAACAACGACCCAGCAAGACCATTGACCTGAAGGAAAGCGTGGTCTGGAAAGGCAGAGAAAGAGCGGGAGGGATAACAGGAGGAGGAGTGTGTGGTTGTAAAGCCGCCATAAACACAGAGGAGGGCGCACTGTAAATATTTGTTTAGCCGTGCACTCATTCCCCAAGCTTTCTACTACATGTATGTCACTCATCATTTTTCTCCTTATATCTGTGTGGCTTTGCTGGCTGTATTTTAAAAAGGAATCTATTTGCGCTTTCACTTTTTACAAATGTTTATGTTGCTCCTCTTGTTACTCTGTCTGACTGGGTCTGTTTGTCTCCTTGCTCTTGTTTTATCATTGCTCTCCCCATGTTTCCGTTCCAATAACAACACAGAATACATCTCATAAGGTCACTGTCCCTGGCTCAAGTATGTAAACTCTTCCTCTCGTTACCTCACTTGGGCAGTGATGTCATCGCCCTGCTGGCTGTGTGCTCTTGGGATTGGCTGTGGGTATTAAAGGTCAGAAATACTGGACCAATTGGATTACACTCTGTCTCAAACTTTGTCCTCTGATTGGCCTGTGGAGAATAACTCACTTCCTGGGGGAATTAAACCACTTCTGGGTCTGTGGGACGACAAAAGTGCACACACACACACACACTTCCTCTCCCAAAGGCCGTGGTTTCATTCTGCCATTACCATGGAGACTCCTTGGAGACCGCAGTAATGAGACTAAAACTTAGTCTGTCGCCTGTGTGTGTGTGTGTGTGTGTGTGTGTGTGTGTGTGTGTGTGTGTGTGTGTCTTTAACAGTTCACATTTTCTTACTAGCGAGTAATGCAAGACACACACAGACGCAGCGATATACAGACAGGCATATCCTCGACATGCAGGTCCTGACTTGTGAAACATCCTGACCTGTTGTGCAACTAAGAAAGGGTGTGCGAGCGAGAGCAATTCTTCACGAGCAAATCTTCGCGCGAAAAGAGTACAAATGTGTCAGCATGTGATCTGAGAAGTTTGTGAACGCGAAGAAGAAATGTGTGTGTCTTGGCACGCTGTTGTGTATCCGAGCGCACAGCGTGGTGCATGTGTCCGCGTGAAGGTCGCTCATCCCAGCGAGCACATTCCTAACATATTCCTGCCTTCTGCTCAGTTAGCGTGTGTGTATCTGTGCGTTTCAGTGTGTAATATTTAGCTCGTCGTGGCAGCTGTAGCGCTCCATTCATCCCACGGAGCCCAAACACAGCTCGCTCCATTTATCTCCCCTGACTGGGCTGCAGGCTCATTGTTGCTTCAAATGACTCCTGTGTTGTGACAAAGTGCTATACTTTACTTTAATTGACTTTTTTTTTTTCATGTACTTCTGGCTCGCTTGTTGATTTCCTACATTTTCGACAATGCACTTCTTCACCACTGCCGTGAACTTGTTGCACTCAGCGGCTGATTGTGTGGGCGAGGAGTGTTGCTAGTTAAAAAAAGGTGTAGTTGTTATTGCAGCGGTATGTGCTGCAATGCACTGTGGTCTATTGAGTCTAGAAGAGTTTCAAGCTCCCTTTATAGTTCTAATGAAGAGACATAAACATTTCTAATGGTGTTTTATATTAGATTTGTTTCTGCCATCAACCACAGAAGCCTTGAACTTGGCTATTGCTGCCATATAATTTTACTGGTCTATTCATTGGGATTCATGATATTATCCTGATAACCATCAGAATATGCTTTAGACTTTTACAGCGGCACTAAAAACATACTGGAATCAACCTGGGGGGGCAGAGCCATCGCTGCCCCCTCCCTCTGGAACTCACTCCCCAAACACATCCGTGACTGCCCCAATCTCAACATGTTCAAATCTCACCTTTTCTGCTGCTTTTAAATCTGTAATTAATGTTGTGTTTGATATATTTGAAGTGTGTTTTTATCGGTAAAGTGTCTTTGAGTTTCCAGAAAAGCGCTGTATAAATAAAATGCATTATTATTACAGTATCCCACATTTGGATGAGAGGACTATATCATAAATCATAAGATCACCATGCCTAAACAGAGAATAAATAATGATTTGTGTTTTATTACATGATAATTCCTGTATTTTTTAAACCAGGCTTCACTTCACTTCTAAAATGATAGATTTGTTATCACATCCATGATAAATTACCATTTCCTCCCTGATAGCATAAATAAGATTATAATTCATGACATAGTATCCTATAGGGTAATTGGGTTGCCCTTCTGCAGTTGCGTGCAAAGGTGGGTTTGATGCAACCATTGCTATAAGGTTAGTCTATTGTTAGACACTACACACAAGCAAGGTAAATACTACTCTGATTAGGTCCTTGTTCACTCACTCCTTTCCTTCCTTTATTTATTTGATGGATTCTCCACTTCCCCCCATTGCCACTCTCTTCCATTAATTTTCTTAAGATTAAAAAAACACAAAAGGGCAACTGAACAATCCAAAGAGTGCCACTCCTTTCCTGTGACGCGCCTGCGAGTGCGTTTGAAAGATCAGCACAGCTAAATAAGCCTCCAATAACCAATAACAGCTCCTATCAGATGGCACATGATGACGGCATAAAGGAAACTGATCCACCTCGACACACACACACACACACACACACACACACACTTGACACGCGAACACACACAGCGCCAGAGCAGCACACATCTCCCCCTCTGGGGAGGTAGTTCGACAGAAGAAGACTTTAAAGGACATAGAAACATGGGAGAAGTAGAACAAAGAGACCTTCAGATTGTTTTATGGCCGTGATGGGAGAGATGGCAAGGTGTTTAGAGAAAAAGAAGGAGAAGGACACTTTATACGCTGTGAAACATGGGAGAGCCCTGGATCTCTTTCTCTGTCGCCTCGTAATATTTCCTCTGCGTGAGATAACGCTCTGCCTTTTATCTCTGTCTCGTTCTTTGTCTTTCACTTTGTTTCCTTAATCTGTGGTCTGGAAAGAGAGCAAACATTTTAGTCACTTAGCTAACAGACTGATCCGGAGTCATTTGTAATCAGTGAATTATGAGCACAAATACAAAGCAGTAGAAGTGCTGCAAAGCTGGAAAAAGAAACAATAAATGAAGTCCAAACGTGCGAAGCGTTTATGAAAAAGTTGGAAATCAATACCAAATGTCACGAAACAAATAAATAAACGCAGGACTTGGCCCAATTCACACGATAACACACACACACACACACACACACAACAACAAAAAAGCTGCAGTAATCATAACTCTCTCACACATAAATCAGGGAGTGAACCCAAACCTGCATGTGCAGGCAGACGCACAGAAACAAAGCAATAAAAGATCCAGAAAGAGCTGATGAAACCACATTTTTGGGAGGTGGAACAGAGAAAGAGTCAACATTAATGTTCATATTAAAAAGGGAAAACTATGGCAAGGAGGTCAAAGCTGAATCAGAACGTCTGTGTGATTTGTGAGGGATGTATTACATTTAGTCATATTTTAGGGATACAGTGTTTTAGGCACAGAAACGAGGCAGGACAGAGACCCTCTAAAACAAGACTCATGGTGAGGACATAATGAATTGGTGGCTTACGTCTTAGGAAATGTCTTGAGTCAGCTTTGTTTGTGCCGAATGCCTTTATTCAAGAAAATTATAAGCGAGAACATTTAAAGTGGTGCTATGATGTCACTCTTTTTGGATAAACTCAGTTTTATGGATCTCTCGATTAAATCAATTCAGCGGTTGGTCATTAAAATGTTAAATGTTAGGCAATTAGTAGAAAGCAATACATTCTTTTTGCACATATTTTTCTGCCAAACAAAATAAGTACTGTATGGTCAACAAACCACCTTTTTGTATCGCCCCATCTGCCTTTGCGCTATTCAGTAGTG